GGGGGGGGGGGGGGGGGGGGGGGAACCTGCCTTTCTCATCTTTTAGATGCTTTAATTAAAAATCCTAAGCCCTTAAACGTGATATTCTCGTGTGTTTCTGCTCTTAACTGGAGTTGCTTCTCTTCAGGTTGAGCCCATTCGTAACTTCTTCGCTGCCCTTTTCCTTGCCAGCATTGGGATGTTAATACATGTTCATTTCCTCTGGAATCATGTCGATATTTTACTTGCAGCTGTTATTTTGGTGATCATAATAAAAACTGTTGTGGTTGCTACTGTTGTCAAGGGATTTGGATATAACAACAAGACTTCACTCCTTGTAAGATTTCAGAAGCTGCTGCTCCGGTTAAAAATGCATATTGAAAAATATTTTATTGACGGAGGGTCCTTAGGTTATGTCATTTGTGTAGGTTGGAATGTCTCTGGCCCAAATTGGGGAATTCGCTTTTGTTCTTTTGAGCCGTGCTTCTAATCTTCATTTGGTAGAGGTGAGTGCTTGATTTGTAATCATACTTTTTAAAAGAGTGCAGCCATCTACTGGTCCTCCTTGGTTTTGTTATCTCCTTCATACTTGTATGCTGCGTTTTTTTTCCAAAGTAAAAGAAAAAGAATACATCCATGAGCCTTTTACCCTTGAATCTTGTTATATAGAGAGAATGAAGAGCGTGTTTTCTAATTTATAATTTTTAAAGAAAAGCGTCCAAAATCTAGTCCTCGATAAAGCTGCTGTACATTCCTGTCAGCGTCAACTTTACCAACTCCATATGTGAATTGCAAGTTTTCCTCATTTTTCTGCACACTATCTGAAGATTTGATCACTATTGCAGGGTAAATTATATCTGTTGCTTCTCGGAACAACAGCTCTTAGTCTGGTAAGTAGACCATCTCGTCACATGTAATAGACATGAACCTTCAATAAAAAAGTTGTAATGAGTTCGCAACACACAGGAAATGTCCCTTCATTTTCAACATGGAAAATAAAGTTGATACTGAATTTTATTCTACTTTAAAAGAAAAATGAAATTCTGAGTGTACTTCTATGGTAGGAAGTGAACATGGAACTCGGATTAAATTCACAAGGACTTGACAGTTGATACTGGATTTCTTACTCGTGCAACTTTTTTGAAATTGTTGGTTAACTATATAGAGTTGAGAGTATGATCTCCATTACAGTATTAACTGGTACATTCGTAGTTTGTTTATCGTTTAACTATGAGACTACTCTTATAACACAATTGAATCGGCATGTTTTAGGTTAATGGTTTTTAAGCAATGGTGTATGGTCTACCCAATTATGAAGTATCTTTGTTTTCTCCTTGTTTTTAGTTTTTGGGTTATTCTGTAAATGATGCGTGGGGTTATTCCTTATATCATGTGCGGATGTCCAAATCACTTCAGGATGTTGATTCTTGCAAAACTATGGTGTGCAGGTAACCACGCCATTTCCTGCTGTTGTTCATCTTGGGGCCTTATTGCGGTGGTTCTCGCCTGATAGTCCGAGCGAGGTAACAATTCTCCCTTGAATATATTTTTTTAACCGTCTCCTTCTAAATGGTGCAGCAGTTTACAATTTTGCCTAGCCAATTATTGTCAAAGCAATAGTTTTGAGGTCCTTTTGAAAATTATTTCTCCTCCCAGATTGGATATAAAGGGGATAATCTTCGGTCGGACAGTGCTAAGCGTATTGCCATCATGGTCGACGGTTCTCATGATTCATGATATTAAAAATAGTAACATGAACCAGAAAATTGCAAACCCTTACCTGATGAGCTTGTTATATATGCTCTGGGGGACAGGTGCTTAAGAGTGCAAAAGAGGTGGATTGAGTGGGAAATTTACACTACCTCAAAGCTCCACTTTGTTGCCCACATTTTCAGTACATATTCTTGACCAGGCATGATTGAAACGAACATCCCAACTGAAACCAAGAAAAGGATAAGGACGGCGGATATATATAAAATACACATATATATGCCAGCGACACAACTACTAATTCTTTTATTAGGTCATCGTCTTCCTTTTAGATGACCCATTTTGTGTAAAAATTAAAATAGCAACAGGTTTCTTGTTTCAATTTTTTATTTTTTATTTTTCTCAATATGAAAGTGGATGCTACCCAACTCTCAAATGTATCATCCTTTATCCCTAGTTCCACAGTGTTATTTTCCTTTTTTTTTTTGTTCCTTTTCCAAAATAATGGTACCGGTGTTAAGATTTCCCATCTTCACAAGTGTTCTTGCGGCTTTGCAAAAAGCATAATGCTTAATAAGATAAGAGGGGCAAGTACCAATCCACGAAAAATGCTTTGAAGCACCACGATTAATAGAAAATGTACTCTTTTTGTGTATCAATCACTTTTTATTAGTGAGTTGTCAACATTACGGTGTTTCACTGCCATTTTCTCATATTGACAAGTAAAAAGTGGCTGTTGTCCAGTTGAACAAGTTGGATCCCCATCTTATCATATATGATAATAAATACCATCTTTCGTGCTCTCCTGGGCTCTCAAGAAGGTCATGAAATAGTCATCTTATCAGAAGCAGGAAAAGAATTAGGAAAAGACAATCAATCTAGCGGCGATAAGCTAAGCTGCATGCATTTTGTTTGTCATTGCTGGAAGTCGGTCAATCAAACTGTATAGATGCATAAAATATTATTAGTATAAGTCATCTGTGACGTTAACGTTCAATGATGCTAAAATGTGTGAATTTAATTTAATTTCATAGTCATGAACAGTTTGAAAAAGATATATAGATGTGGATTGACCCTTCTGTGCTGTGGAGAGAAAAAGCCCATCTTTTACTGCACTTAAAATATTCCTTCAACTTACCTCAATTGTAGTCGCCGGACGCGTTTAGAATTTGTTTTAAAATAATTTTATTTTTTGTATGAAAATAAAAATAAAAATATTTTTAAATTTAAACATAAATTATTTTTAAAAATGCGTTTGATAGTTTTATAGTTTGTTTTTAGTATAAAAAAACTCATTAATGTCTCTCTCTGCTCGAGAGAAGAGAAAATGAAAACAAACAATGAAAAATGATCGTTTTTCATTTCTCTCACATTTTATACTAAACCAAAAAAATCGTTTTCATTTCCATTTTTTGTCTTTATTACGCCAAACGCTGTTTTGGAGACATTTTTATTTTTTCTTTCTCGAAAAATATGAAAAACAAAAACAGAATCAATTCTAAACACGGCCTTAATTATTTATTTTTTTGCTTCCTATAAGTTTACCTCAGCAAATTAAAATAAGAAAAAGAGAACAAAGGAAACTGAAAAAAAAAAAACCTCTTTTTTCTTTTTTATTTCAACTCGGTTACTGAATCATGAGATGATTTTTAACCGTTCTTTTGGTAATGTGTACAGGGGTTAGATGTTCTATTGGAAAAGAAATTCAAAATAGAGCAACTAAAGCTTTATGAATGATGTTCACTATTGTTTGCAAATAAAATATCCAAGTCAATCTTTCTTTTCTTCACCCGAAAGGTAAAAATAAAAATCATCTTCATCTTCAGAATGAAGTACTTTAGTGCCCTTTGGTGAAAGTTTAGCAAATAATTTCTTCATATTTAATATTTGTAAACTTCAGCTGAAAGCATCTAAAAAATGATTATCCCAAGAGGAAATTATAAGCTCCAAAAGTAATAGAGAGTTCAGTGAGATATTCAAGTAATAGTATCTTTTTTTTATAAAAAAAAAAAAAAAAAAACCCTTTATGTAACATCCATTATTTTTTTAATGGCAGCTTTAAAACCAATAAATTTAGTACCCTAAATATTCGTTTCATGAGGCAGAACGAATGTACAGATTATTAGTATATAATTTGCTTACTCAACAGACTTTGAAGTTTTGCCTTTCACGTTATGCTCAGAAAAATAAACAAGTGAATGGTCTAAAAATATATTCGATGTAATATGCCCTTAATCAATCAACGTAATCAGTTGGTGAAGATAACAATAGTAAATGTCGTTGCTTTAAAAATAGCTTTATGTCGAGTTCAATGAAGCAGACTGATTGACCCAGAAAGTCAAATCCATTTTTTTAATTGGCATATTACAACGCTGCTGATGCTCTTTCGCTTGAAATATGCGGCATTGGTCTGAATAATTATAATGTTAATGACGTGGTGAAATATACTTTTCTCACTAATAAAATATATTTATATATAATACATCTACTTTTATATATATATATATATATGTGAGTGAATTGCACTACTGCATCTTAAACTTTTCATTTTTTTTAATTTTTAATTTTAACAAATTAATTGCACTATGAACTTCCAGTGTAACACGCTCAACACAAATTCAGTCCTCTTATACTCTCTCTCTACATATATACTAATTACTTTTATATATTCATCAGTCTCTCCCAAAATACCAATCCTTTCTAAGTATTATTATCTACAAATGAACTTTTCTTATTAGGAGGTTAACGATTATGTTTGTTTTTTCGTTAGATTTATATTATTATATTAAAATACGTTTAATAAACCACTTTTGCCTTGTCAAATGTTCTTCCTGAGTTTTGTATAACTAAAGGTTGTTATATATATATATATATATAAAAGCTATATAGAAGTATCTAAAACAGAATCACCAATCTTAAAATTAGAGTAAAATAATAATAACGCAAAAGAAAAATATTACAACTTGTTAGAGAAAAGTTGTAATATGTTGGTAACGTAATAAAATCTTGTTATTATCTTTGTGAAAAGAATAGCACTTTATTATTAAGCATAAAAGAAGTTCGTTTTTTTTTTTTTTAGTTTAGTGTATAAATTTTGATTTTATTAATGCCCCATTGGAATTAAATCCTTACTCCGTCACTGGATACGAGATCACACTTGATCTACTTTGAAAAATAACGAGCTTTACTTTTTATGTGCAAACTTCATGTCTTACACCGTCAATTTAATAACGTTCGTTAGTTGTTGGATCTTAATTTTTATTAATTTAAAAATGCATGATGCAATTTCACAAAATTAAAAATTCGAGTTGTATTACGTAAAACAATGATAAGTTTAGAGTGCAATATTACAATTTACTCCATACTTATTGAAGAGTGCTAGAATTCAAATTATTGCTTAATATGTGCTTTGTTATAGAGGATTATAGAAACTTCGATATTCGGTACCTATTGACAATGAAAAACATGACAAACTCATACGCCATGAGAAATTGTAAGTTGTCACCTCATTGATTGTCACAATTAATGTATCTTGCAATATATAATGGTAGGTGGTGATCGTTAATTACAACTAGAAAAAATAATAATAAATGTTACGGACCTGTAGGAAAGAGGAAAATATTAACTACCATATTGAAGATGACATTGAATAGAATGGAACATTAATATTATTTCTGGTGTCTGAAATTAATATATATATATATATATATATATATATCTTTTTTCATATAGACACAGACGGCTAACGTAGAAGTGAAAGAAAAGGGCCCTTCCCTTGTACTGTGGGCATAAACTTATAGTACATTTATGTATGCAAAAAGTTTAGGCTTTTTTCTCTTAACAGTAATTATATATATATATACATAATATAACTACGATTATATTAATATGTGGGACTTTGGTGTGACGAGGGGAATGATGTTAGAAAGTGGGTTGATTGGGAAAATGACTGATTATAAGGGGAGAGTTATTAAAAAACTGTTGGAACTTTTTAATGAAAAAGAATGGCCGTTTATTGATAAATTTCATATATTTACTGACTAAGATTAATTGATAAATCTGACTATATATATTACGTTTTTAAATTAATAATTAATAAATATGAGTAAATATCATATTTACTGACTAAATTAATTGTAAATCTGATATTTACCAAACAAAGAAAAGGGAAACCGACAATTTACCGCAATTTCTCTAGAAGGTCCCATTGTTTTCTGTGATTGAACTGGAATAAAATAAAACCATAAAGAGATCATCATTAATAACGAGAAAACAAGCAAGGCAAACGATTTTCCATTAATTACATATATACATACCTAGACACACACAGATTATATGTGTGTGTATGTATATATAAATATATATATATATATATATATATATATATATATAGGGGGCAACGTGACAATTAAAGCTTCACTTGCAAAATTAAGGTGCCATAAAATGCTTCAATCATTGAAAGAGTTGCGTCTTTTCCTTGTAGCTTATCATTTAATATTGTGTCTCACCAAATTTCATTCATGCCTCTATATAGAAGGGAGAGAAGCATGCATGGACCGGCCTGCTTATTAATCATGACGATCTTTGAATGTTATCTTTCAGTGAAAGAGAACAAAAATAACCCAAATCCATAAAACTTACCGCTGAGGAAAGCCCTTTTTTTTATTTTAAAGGAACTTAAAATTCCGATTACTACAATCTGTAGTTTGTTTTGGTATCGGAATTGAAGTTTCATCTAACTATATTGTCGTGCATTTTTTCTTTTGTTTTCAGACCATGTTATTCACATGTCAGACTTACCAATCATCCCATTGTTGAAGCAGACAGAGGATAATATATATATATATATATATATATTATAGCAAGAGAGAGAAGGGAAAATAAAAGGCTAATCCAAAGACATATCAATATATCATGATGACATCAGTGAATACATACATGTGTAGATATAAAGCTATGGAAACGTTTATTGTAGCATACATATTAAACAACAAAATTCTATCCTCCACAGATTTCATGTGAACGTTAAAGATGATTGAGTAATATGCGATTTGATTGAGTAAAGAATCCAAACTATTTGACACCTCATAGATAGTCACAGGTAGTAAAGATGACATAAAATGTTAGTTGAAAGGTCACTGTTTCTCAAAAGTGACTAATAAATGAGCCAAAACATACTCTTCCAAGTGGGCAAAAACACACATATACAAACAGAGGAAAAATCCAAGGTTAATTTATATACTGTATTTTCTCAGTATATATATGCTAGTAACATACGAAGTCTTTCTATTATATCTCATTGTCATGTTATATGTTAGTAACGTAATTCAAGTCATTCATTTCATATAAACAAAACTATTCCAACTTGAGTGAGAAATAATACTTGGAAGTTCTAATTAAAGACTCTACTTACATTTCATATCTTTGAATCTTTCTAAGAATATTATGCTTTCCTTTTCTATGACATATATTACTAGAAACACGAGGTTAGAGCCTTAGAGGTGAAGTTGAAAGAACTATGGGGATTGGAATTCAAGCCCTTGAAGATGGAGTGGCCCTACATGAAGGGTTTTTAGAGAAACATGTGAGAAGCAGCTTCTCTAGTAGAATTAGAAAAAATAAATTATCAGTAGTTTTTTACTTTTTAATCGTCAAATTTTTATTTATAATTATCTATTCTGCATATTATTCAATAATCATAAATTGACACTACTGATAAGACTATCCTATAAAAAAATAAAAAATAAATACTCTCTAGAAACATACAAAACCGTACGAACTTTTCTCTCATTGGCGTGTAGAAAAAGCCTAGAAGGTGGTATTTCGTGTTTCTATTTCCCTTCACACGTTGTGGACAAGGTTTATTTCTTTACTATCTCCAAAATAATAGTTATACCGATAAGATATGTCAGCTTGGTGTTCATACACAAACTATATTTTTTTCTTCCTCTTTTTATTTAATTTTTTATAATAATGGATTCCTTGAAATTCTCCCAAATGGAAATTATATGCCTTCAAGAAGATAATAAAAAATCAGAGTCAAAGATTTTTGTCCCTAAGCAAAACAAAACAAAACAAAAGAAAAACAATTATAATGTCCTATCATGCATGAGTTTACTACTAATTAATAAATGACACTTCTATATATTTCCATCTCTTATTAGTCAATAATTCTTGTTTTTGTTTTTTTGTTTTTAAATCAGTTTTTCTTTCTGAGTTCTCTTCTTGAATCTACTCAACGTAGGATTTGTTGATCATTTGTTCCCTAATTCCAATTTCACTCAAAAGAGGTCAAGAATCCTTGTAAATTGGGCAACCAAGTAAATGCTAAAAAAAAACATATTTTCAATACTACCATTATTATTTGATATTTTTATTGTCCATTAGTAATCATTCAATATATAGAGTGAAAATGCATGGAAATTACAGAATGTAAAAAAGTCAAAGGCAGTGGGCTTGTCAAGGAAGTCTATAGGAACTTGCCTTGCTTACCTCAATTTTGGCAAAACACCATCTTTCTATCTTGGAGCAGGACCAAAGAATAGGTCTGAGTGATTAAGGGGATGTTTGGTTAAAGGATTTAAATCATGATTTAAATTATAATTTATGATTCATTATAGTATTTTCTCTCATAAAAAATACACATAAATAAAAAATAATTCTAATCACATGATTCTAATCTATGAACCAAACGTCTCCTAAAATTTATAATAGTACCTCAATATCAACCTACCAAAACAGCCACTTGGGTTGGCGGTCCGATCTTTAATATATATATATGCTAGGATAAAAATAGATGTGTCTCTTGCTATATCTATATCCGTGTATGATTTACATGTCCAGGTGCATTAAATAACCATGTCATTTGGTGTATATGTACTCCTTTTCATCAAAAAGTGCAGCTCCTCTCCCAAAACATCTTCAGCCAAATTTGGATTTTGGCAGCAGCGGGGGCATGAAAAATAATGGATATGTTTATAATTGATTTCATCTTGTTTTCAAAAATGTTTCTACACGTTGTTTGAACGGTCTTCAAATTAACAAATACTTCAAAAACCAATATGAAAATAAAAAAAGCGAAAATGATTTTTGTTAAGAAAATAAAAAATAGTTAAAAGTTATTTTTCTATTTTTATTCTCATTTTCTAAGCTATCACATTTTTTGAAATATATCCAAATACAATTTCACTTTTTTTTATATTTAAAACAACCTCTAAAAAAATTAGCCAAAGATAATTTTAGAAACAATCTCAACACTATTTTCAAAAGCAAAAACATTTTGAAAACTACCAAAATATCTTGCGAAAAGTGATAAGAATTAAGAATCCAAATCTCATGGAAACGTACATAGAGGGAGAGGTGGCAGATGTGGATAAATCTAGCGGTAAAATAAGAAATGAGTAAAAATAAAGATAATATGAACACAAAGTATTTTATGTGGAAAACTTTTAAAGGAGATGAAGTAAAAACTACGAGACAATTGTAAAAGGATTTTACTATGAAAAATGGAGATTACAACATTTTCTCTAAATTACATGGAGAGAACAATAAGAATCACTCTATCATGTAAATAGGAGAAACACCTGATAAAAGAAAAAAAACTGGAGAAATTAAATTTCTCTCACACTATGGGAATTCTCTCTGAAGAGTGAGAATGAGAAGCAAAATTGAGAAATGAAGGAGCTCTATTTATAACTGAGCTCTCATGAGAAAATCATATGAACCAGTTGTAAATAACTAGCTATTCTCTCAAATATTAACACTGAATTTGGTGCTATTTTTGACTTATTAGGGAACAGAGGTATGCTAAATTGGAATCCAAATATGAAATATCTAAGAAAAATTGTAGTTTAAGGAAGCTTCATAATAGGATCATTCTAAATGATATGCACAATCCCAACTGACAGATGTTTATGAAGTTCTATTAAATTATTAATGTGATATGATTACTATATATTGTGCATGCGTTAATAGGCTATTTTTATTTCTTCATGAAAGAAAAAAGAACGGATAATAATCTTCTATTTGGTTATAAAGAAAATGAAGAAAAACTACGCTTTGTAGTGTAGATATTTCCAACTTGGTTACCCGTAGTTAACAACTTCTCTTTTTCCTTCTTATCTTCTTAGCAGCCAACTGAAGAATATATTTATACTTTTTTTTCCTTTTTTTTTTTTATAAAAAGAAATAATAATTCTAAAACAGGAAAAACTGACGAAGCTTCTTCCTCCCCACTCTTTTTTTCTTTTCCACAGCTGTCCCTACTAACACAGCCAACACTTAAAAGTAAACTGACAACAATTTTTGTTTTTTCTCGCTCCAAACACCCCTCCAAATTCATCGGTGAATAAGGCACATACGTATGTGGAAATGAAATTCCAATCTTGCCCTTTTCCTCTGTTTGATTGTTTTTAATGAAGATATCAAATATATGGTCCAAACAAGATCATTATTAAACTGAGAGTTTTGTCATATATACAAGTTACTTCTTCAAAGACAAAATAATTTAGTGAACTTCATGAGATGGTTAAATAATGAAACGACATCCCATAATTGGGTTAAATAATGAAACGACATCCCATAATTGGTACCAAAATCATATATATTATTGGAAATAAAACTAGAGATAATAAAGAGATTGTTGCATGGCCGTATTACCCATAAAGAAAACAGAAAATACAATTTCCGTTGGTCATAACTAGTAATTCCATATAACGTTTGTCACTGATCATACATCTGTTTATTCCCTAGAAAAAAAGAAAAGAAAAGAAAAGAAAAGAAAAAACAAAGATTAACTATCCTATATTTGGTTAAGATCACATACTATCTATACCGGTATATAACACACGGTGAATTTGCATGATATCATCTTCCTTGATCATGCTCCACCTCCTAGGAATAATAATATGACTGCACAAATCATTATAATTTCTCTATGGTTTTGTATCTGTTGAGAGAGTCATGATCAAATTCATGTAACAGTAATAGGGCCCACAAAGAGGTGGCCTGAAGATGACTTATTATTTTGTTCCAAATTCGGCCTTGTCGGCCCGGCCAGCTTGAGCTCTAGATCAGGTGCTGATGCAGCATTTGAAGAAGTCATAATTGGTTTATTTGCTGCATTTGGATTAGATTTCATCTGGGGATTGATTAATCCGTGTATCCAAACAGGCACAGAATGATGATGATGATGATGAGTATGATGTGAAAAAGAAGAAGAAGAAGAAGAAGAAGAAGAAGAAGCTATTTGAGGACAAAAATCATCTGGTTTTGGATTATCTGAAACTAAACTTTGAGCTTTTGGTTGAGAGAAATTATTAGGAATTGGATAATCATCACTAGGCTTGAAGTTAGAACTATTTAGAGGACTACTTCCAACCACCATGCTGTTGCTGGTCCCAACCTGTTATCATACATTTAACAAAATGATTAACAAAAATTCAATCTTTTTGTTACATAATATATGTGTATATATTGCATATATAATATATGTATATATGTACATACCATGTCAAATAGGCTTGATCGTCTCTTCTTCTTGTTGAGGCTTGCCTGTCTAAGAAAATACTTCTGAGCATGACTAGCAACTTGGGTTGGTGTTCTTGTTGTGACATAGTTCTTCGAGATGCCTCTCCAATCACCCTTTCCTAGCTTCTCAAGCCCAATTAGAAATATCCTGTGTTCTTCTTCTGTCCACGGAACACCTATTTCAAAAATAACACAATTTAAAGATGTAAAACAGGGTGAAAAACTTCCAAGTACAAAATTAGTGCCTAGAAGAATCAAGTGGATGCATATCACTTGTGCTGTGGTTCCATGCATAGTCTAACGGTAAATTTACATCTATCGAAAAGAAAAGTGCGATACTTATGCGCACCTTTTTTTCTCTCTTGGGCGCGGCAAATGAGACCATCAGAGAGATACCCAATAGAGGCTTTATCAAGATGAGAAGCTTCATCAAGGGCGATTCTTGAAGACATTGAAGAAGAAGGGGATGAGGAAGGAGAGGAAGAAGAGTTGAGGCAGTCCATGCTGAAGCTTTTCTTGATGGAAATGGAAGAGGATGAAGAATACATGTCTAGTTGGACACCAAAGAGCCTAAGTGATCCTCCAACAAAAGTAGCAGACGCCTTATAATAATTTGTGCAAGTCCTGGAATTGTGGCCTATGTTTCCACAATGTGAGCACTTTCTGCCCATCTTCTTGTAGACAAAATTCAGCTCAACTTCTCACAAGGCTGAATTAACGGCCGACACACACTCGCAATTCTAAACTTAGAGAGAGAGAGAGAGACAGAGACAGAGAGAGCAAATGAGTTATGTGTTTGGTGGTATATATGATGATGGGGGTGAGGTGGGGTTTATAAAAATGGATGCACACCAAGGGAAGATGATTGGATATATAAGTTATTGTTGGATATTTTTTCCTACTCGGCTTCCTAAATTGCAAAATAATAGTATAAGTAGTGCTCTTCTCTCCTATTAAAGAAAAAAATAAGTACATCACCTCTCTCTTTCTACACACACATATAAATATGTGTTTATTAATATATATATCATAAAAGTTTATCTTATATATACATGAGAGTTTTAATTTTGTCCCTTAAATAAAATAAAGGGATATTTACACTTATATTATGTGTTTTGGGTTTATTCAAAAATTACACCTTTAGTTTTTGATCTTATCAAATGTATGCATTTAAATTAGATTTAATACCTAAATTTATACATTTTCACAGTCAACCCTCGATTTTAAGCACAAAATACCTAAAGCACCCTTAAATAAAAATGAAAAAAGAAAAAAAAAACTAAAAAAAACTTTAAACTTACGGTTTTAACCTTAAAAATATTCCAAATACCATTGAAATGGGGCTTTTTTTTGTGTTTTTAATTTTTCTTTTTTGTAATATTGGAAAGTTTTAGTTTTAGTTTTTTTTTCTCTCTTTTTCTCAAGGATAGTTTGGTCATTTTAAAGGTCAAAATAAATTATTGATTGAGACAAGTGTTAGATTTGTATATTAAATTTAATTTAAATATATACATTTGATGATATTAAAAACTGAAAGTATAGATTTTGAATAAACTCAAAACACAGGATATAAAAATGTATAAATCCCTAAAATAAAAGCATAATTGGTATATATCCTCAAGCCCTTTCTGTTTTTCTCTCTCTTATAAAGCTTATCTAGTTATCCCATGCAAGAAATTCTTGTCCTCTAGAGTTAGTGTGGCACACCACAATTCCTAGGGTACATTGCCTTGTGAATTTAGTTGTTCATAGTTTTTTGATTTGCACATGTTGGTAATTTATGCGTATGTGTACGTATATTGTGTGTGTGTGTGTGTGTATAGAGTTGTATACGTATAAACTGAAAGCTAGATCTATTTCGAGTGGTATATAACAATTTAATATATACGTCTGGTGACCCTTTTTGGTATTAAACTAGAAAGAGGGGTGATCCTCCAAATCTTTGGAGGTAGGTAGGTGAGTATTAAAAAAGAAAAAAAAATTGAGAACTTTCAAAGTTGAAATTAATCAACTAAGTGCCACTTTTCTAGGAAATTCAGTAAAATTTCAGCCAAACTGTCAAGGCCTGATCCGGACAGATATTATAACTACAGCCACATGAGGAGAATTTCATCAATGTTAGACTTCAAAATTTTGATTTCAGAGTTTAGTTTTCTACCAAGTTTTGGGAGAAGAAGTCAGTTGTCTCTCCATGAAATTACGGCCAAGCAAAACAACAGGAATTGAATGATAGATAAATTACTTTATCAGGTGGGACCCAACCATAAAAATTTCAACGGAAAGCAAATTTGATCAGTCGTATTGAAGGCAAGCATCAAATTTAGAAACCGTTTAGTCAGAGGATTCATTTTTTGATTCGAATCATGATTCATAATTTATTACAGTATTTTTTCTCATAAAAAATACACATAAATTAAAAATAGTTTTAATTTGATGGTTCTAATCTATGAACTAAACGATCTCTATGTTTATTTTCTGGCTGCTAATTTTAGACCATACCATTTTCATCCAATTCTCACCTATTAATTCTCTATTCTTAAGGCGTTTAGTTCGTTAATTTAAGTTTTTAATTCGAGTTGATATATAATTTTATATAAATTTTTTTTACTGTAATAAAAAAATTAAATATAATTATTTTTAAAATTTTTTATTATAATAAAATTTAAATTTTAAATTTAAATCAGTGAAATGAACAGACGACGCGACGTACATTCTAATCAATATACAAATTAAAAACAAAAAAAGAATCATGATAACCAACAAAAATATCATCATGATAACAAAGAAAAGACTGTCACTTACAATACAAATTCAAATGTCACATCAATTTTCTTTTGGTCCAATCAATTATGGCTAATTACTTTGGCTAAGGTACTATTGTCCCAAGCAGAATCCTGGATGTTGAGTAAAGGGAGGAGCTGCAGGATATTCTCTTTCCAATTATGGGTAAACTAATGCATAAAAAATTGAAATATAAGATAGGGACAGAGATATAACATATAGTAGTTACATATTTAAGCCAACTAGCATTTTTCTTAGTTAATCTTATTATTTTACATTGTCATGGATTTCAAGCCGATGGGGTTTTTGTTTTTTTAGTTTAATTTTAATTTTTAATGAATCTGGAAGCCAAGTTGAGGAATTTTTTACTCCTCCTTATCTGAATCAGGAAAGACTGGTCATTTTATTAGGATTCATTTGGCATTATTATACCAAGGAATCTTTTCTCATATAAAACTAGTAGATAATGGCCTAGAAAAAGTTTTTCTAATCCTGTCTGACTAGGAATTAAATAACTTGCTTATTTTTTTTCCCTTCCTCTTTTATAAATAATATATGCAAGAAGTTGGTGGTACTCTTTGATCTATTAGCTCCATTTTGTGATTTAATTAAGCTTATCATGAGACCTTTCAGTTCTGTTAAGAGATACAAACCCAATTTAATTATAATTTCTTATAAAGCAGTGTCAAAGCTTGATATGCATTATCACCAAGGGACCCAATAGAATTGATAGTTCAAATATTTTAAAAACTTGGGGTTCCTCAAAGTTTTCCTCATATCATAAAAGATGAGTTTGATCAAATCCAACTTTGGTGCTTGTTAGCCTTTCATGCCATATTTCTCCAAATTGATTTGAGTTTTGGAATCCTGAAAAAAGCACATAAATTAAATGATGGTGCTTCAGCTTTTAAGGGGATAGGGCAATTGGGTATTAGCCTGTGAGAAAGTTAAGATTGTGGCATGCAAAAAATTGCGAGTTTTGTGATGTGAAAATGACTTTTGATGCAACTAGAATATAATTTTGTACTTCTTTTACAAAAGCATGGAATCTAAAATTATTTTGCTGCTAATAGCAACTTTAATGTAGTTCCTAAATCATTGTCTTTGTTAAATCATGATAAAATACTTGTGTAAGATTGATTAATCTATGGATAATCCTTGTTTATTATTATGACTGCTTCCACGCGAACCCAAAAGGCATCAACTTTATGAGAAGCAAATGGCCATAAGTGTACCATCAGTTGCTGAAGTACTGAAAAGCATTGCTTCTAAATATGTATATGATCAGCTTTCACATTCTACTTTCCTTTCTTTTTTTTTTTTCCTTTTCTTTTTTTAAGTTTCATATATTGCACTCTTCATTAGCCAATTGCTGAGCAAATTTGAAAATTCTAGACCAATGTGTTTGTTTTGCGTCCAATAATCCCATTTAACTCGTATTCACCCAAAAAAAGGAAAAAAAAAAAAGAAAAGAAGAAGAATTCTAGCCATTAAAATTACGAGTTTTTAGTTCAAGCAGGAGATTATGAGTTCAAATAGTGAAATACCGAGTGTTTTAAGAGAGATGGTTAACTTTTGCATCGATCCCTCCCCAGAACACTTACTGAAAATAGAAAGGAAATTAAAGAAAAAAAAATACTAACTGCTGATAATTAGTTATTGGGCAGCATGGAAATGGAGCACTTTCCAATCAATGTTATAAATTTCCAAAAAGGAGGAAGAAAAAAAATAACGGGCAAGGTTATTGCACGGGTCGTTTTCAAATCAAGGATTACAGCAGCGAGTTTTAAATGAACTCAGCAAATGGCTTTTTTATCCCATTTGTAGATGATATTTTATTATATATATATATAAATCCTAATATATATCACAATTATGCCACTTGCGATTAAAGAAAGATTACATCACTCACCATAATCCAGTTAACTAGAATATGCAGAATGTCCAATGTATCTGCACTATATCATCTTTTATTAAAAAAAAAAAAAAACAATTTCATTTTTCAGTGATGATTTGATCTGGCAAGAACCCACATAAAGGGTAATAGTAATCTAATATTTTCTTAATTATCTTAGTCCAAAGATACCAATTTGTTGAGGGGAATGATTGTAATAGTAGGCGAAAGAACATTTGTACTTGAAGTTTGTTTGTTAAATAATTACAATATTTTAAATACAATAATTCAGGATTCCGCAAGGTATTGGCTTTTATTATTAGACAAAAGGGTAGCTTTCTTAATCATCTTTTCTGAGTCGGAAGAATTTGAGTAGGAATTACTACTAAGCATAAGAGGAAAGTTGATTTAACCTTCAATCAAATAACTTGGTAGTCTATTAAAAGTCAGTCATTGCTCTTTCCTTATTTATTTATTCATTTTACTTCAAATTGTCAATCATGTTAAATGGAAAGTAAGTCTAAAATTTTTTTTTTTTTTTTTTTTTTTTTTTTTTTTTTTTTTTTTTCTCAAGAACCCTTTGATTAAGATGAAGTTTCTTGTTCAACAGTCCAAAGAGAAACGCAAGAAGTTGTTCTCTTTATTCTAACTAGTACCTAGACATTAAAATGGTCATGGAAGTGACTGCTTGCAGGAAAAATACAAGAAAGTGCTATTCCAAGTGAGTATTCTTGTGCAATCTAGGAACCGAAATTTGACCAGTAAGTAGCATCAAAGCAAAGGGCACACATTGACCAAGCTGTAATGGAACAGGTAATAGGTAGGTTTAGAAAATAAAGCAAAGTAGAGGAATAAAAATGAGAATTGTTAATGTAATAACTGAAATGCCTGTTTATAAATTAAATGATCATTGGCTTACAATATGTGATTCCAACAACAATTTACAAGTAAATTTGGCACTCATTTCCAGAATCAATATTGTATAGGATTGACATTCTCTTTTTCTATTCCTTGTATCCTAGAGTGCCCCTTAAACTGTAAATTCAAATTTTTTTTTTAACTAAAAACGCGATTAAATAGGAAAGGAAAATACTCTTGTTTTTCTATTACCTTTTCATGGGAGGTAAACACGCCCTAAGTGAGACATTCTGTTCCAGGATATAAAGGACCTAACCTAACATATACATGATATACTCAACGAGACCAGCGTGAATGGTGCAATTTTCCAAACAATAAAACAAGTACTAGAACAAAAGGATCAACGAGACCAGTGTGAATGGTGCAATTTTCCAAACAATAAAACAAGTACTAGAACAAAAGGATCAACTCTATGAATTGACTTGGGTTCCTAAATCAAACAATTCCCAGTAAAAATTATCAAAAGGTTGAAGATCAGAATATAATTGATCAAGTCAACATTGATTTTATTGACGTCGAATTGATTCATTGGCAATCTGAGCAAACAATTCAAGGCAGTGACCAATTGGCATCAAGAAACAACAGAAATGAGAATATATATATATATATATATATATATATCATAATATTGAAGTGAAAAGTCTAGGTCAGCTGAGGATCTAGCATAGATTTGCATTTGCTTATCAGGCAAGCAAATATCAAAATCCAATGTCCAATAAATATTATCCAAGTAGCCTTATAGGTTAGAGAAATCCACCATGTAATGCAAATGAATGTACAAGAATATTAAAATTCCAAATAATGTTTCAAAATCAATAAATTCAATTTCAATTTGCTTCTAAAAGTAAGCTTGTACTTTATAGTCAATGCAACTATTGAACACACAATATCAAAGAAGATGCTTAGCTAGTTCCCACTGAACAACAGAGAAGCTCAATATTTCAATCCTTTAACGTCATGATACACGTTGCAAATTCTCTCTGTATTATAGCCTTAAACAACAGATTTTTTCCCTTAAATAATGGGAAGTGCTAAAGAAATCAACCTTCAAAACAACTCAACTAAAGAGCTTCATGTTAATGTCTTTATACAGTATCAGTCCAAATCCTCCTCCATCTTGCAAGATAACAAAAACTAAGCTTAATCTGCTAAGGAAAACGGAAATCAAAATCACTCGGTAACTGCGACATTTCATAGCGAAATTTCTCTCTCTCTATTTCCAGAAAGTCCAGATACAGCCTTGAGGTTCTGATATGATATGCCAAATATAAAAATGAAAAAAAAAAACCAGAAGGACAAATTGTAAATGGAGCATTAAGTCATTGCATTGAAATATACCTTCAGATGAGCAAATTACCATATCACTCAAAGGTTAAAAGATAAATAAAAGAGTATAAATATAACAAGCACAATAATAAGTGTAACCAATTCACATCATATTCTTTTCTTTTTATGCAAAGGAAAAATAAATATTAATTAATTGTATATTTTTATTAAAAAGGACTGCTAGAGGGGAAAAACAATAGAAGTTCGTTAACTTGAATACATATTCTCTCCAGTTAACTGGTGTTCAGGTGCTAATCAATTCCAGGACCAAAAGCGTGAAAGGAAATAAAGTTTAGTATTTTTTTTTAATGTATGATTAAAGGAAATAAAGTTGTTATTGATCTAGACTTATCTGCTATAGAATGATAGTCCCAATTTAAAAGAGATGCAGTCGCTCACCATTAGATGGATTTAAGAACTAGTCCAATGTCTATATTTGCATATTCCTCGCCGGCTTTCTTCAAAAGAATCACGAATAGACTGCGCCATGTAACATACTGCAGGAACATTTGCCAGTTTTTCATCCTGCTCCTGTATTATAGACTTAGGACCCATCAATAAACATTCAAAGGTTGAGAGAGAGAATGCAGTTTGAGTGAGGATGTCAATGTCATACCAATTCAGCAAGGCGTTCTTCAAAACCTCGAACATCCTCGTCAACAGGCATGAAAATCCTTCTATAAGCTGTTCTTAGGCTTGTGATCTAGGTCCTTGCCACAGTCATTAGAAGCTCGTTCAAGCATTAAAAACTAAAACATCTTACAATCATTAAACTAAAGCAGATTTTTGTTCAAATAAAACCTCAGTAGATGTGAATCCATGACGTCGAAGGCCCTCCAGATTCAAACCCCGAAGCTCAGTTCTTTCTCCTGAAACCATCATATACTTGGGCACATCCTGTGAAACCTTCAGAGACAAAAACAATAAAATCAACATTAGAAACTGAAAGAGTTATCATCTACTTCCAAAACGCCATGCCCAAGTGGAAATCAGCAACTATGACGTGTAATAATAGGAGTACGTGAGCATACCACAGAACCACCACCAATGAAAGAAAAGGAGCCAATATGGCAGAACTGATGAACAACAGTAGCCCCTGCAGTGTGAGCATGGTCCTACATTGAAGCACTTGAATTAACTTTGAATCAGATTCTACCTCTACAACTAATCCAGAATATCATCTTACATAGAACTACACAAAATAAGTGAGAAACTTACTCCAACCACAACGTGTCCTCCTAGAAGCGTGCCATTCGCAAAAATATTATTGTTCCCTACTTTGCAATCGTGAGCAATATGACAAGATCCCATGATGAGGTTATTATTTCCAATAACCTGATTACATAATGAGAGACGATAATCTCAGTCAAATTTGATAAGGTATCTTACTCTGCAAAATATAACATTTTCAGCCCTTTCGCATACTGTTCTATCACGTGACTTTGAGGATCGGTGGATTGAGGTATGTTCTCTGATCTCATTGTTGTCCCCAACATCAAGGAAACATTCATCACCTGGCTAAAACACGAAAAGAAAAAATGGTTAGGTAGAAGAGCAGGCAGTTTAAAAATTAACGCAGTTTAAGGACTTTGCTACACGAATGAGCTGGCACATTATGTACTGTTGCTGGATGCAATGTTTAACTTGATTATCACAAGGATGATGAACACAAGTACAATAATAGTGATGGCTGAGTAACAGCAAGCTAAGAGTGAGAGAGGGAGAGAGAGATAATAGAGCTCATGCACTAGACCTCATATAGAAAAGGGATTTTATACACACACTCATGTTCATAAACATATATGCTTACATGTAAAATAACACTATCAGGGATTCAGGATAGGTATAGATAAACTTATTAACATTGTACTTTCACCGCGTAATTCTTTACAAATTGTGCTGCTCTTCACAAGGTGTGAAGAATGTGAGCGTCTAAAAATTAACATCACATTGCAGAGTGTAAATAAGATTAGATGACATCAAATCACTTTGAACCTAACCTTGTATTTCAAGTCTTGGCATTTCACACCAACAATAGCATAATGTCCTATCATGTTATTTGATCCCATCACTGTACGCCCAGGAAGATCATCACCGACCACAGCACCACTACCTTACAAGTTAAGCCAATATGATATTCAAATAAGAGATGATTTATGCATCAAAAAATAACTTAGAAGAATATCAAAGTCCAGACTCACGTCATAAGAACGCAACGCTCCCCCAATTCTGTATTTCCATATATATGGCTTCCCGTATTCAATCGACAACCATTCCCAAGCTTTGCAGAAGACCCAACAGTACAAAAGGGACCAATTGAAACACCCTGAACCACATAGAGAATTTTGCCAACGTACACAAAATAAATTAACAAAGTTTAAAGCAAACCCAGATAAACAAGGACTAATCATTAATTAGTAATGAAGCTAAAATATTTTGCTCTTTCAGAAAGAGAAATAGGGTTCAGCTCCTTTTTTCTTTTTCAATAATTCTCACATTCATCCCCATCCAAATAACCCACATCACGTTCTCCTAGAAAAGGTCTTGAATTCAAATCAGTTCCATAATATTAGATGGGATATATGAGCAATCTACTTCGCGAGGGGTCGATATGCCACGCAGAGGGATTACTATGTCACCCTCTATTCCTGTAATCTTCTTTTCTTTAAAATAATATAATTATAATAACAGCCCACACAAAGACCAGCACCATAACCAATCAATATACAGAATTTTACCAATGCATACAAAAATTAAGCAAGTAAAAAAGCAACCCAGATAGACAATTAACTAATCATTAATTAGTAAAGCTCATTAGCATTGGTGTGTGTCGCCACTGAAATTCAACCATCCACATCTGAAACTCTCTCTTGTACAATTGTATTGTTACACAGAACCCACGAAAGTTTTTACTTTTTAGCAAACGGAGAGTCTGATAAACATCGAAACCCAAATTCAATAAGAGACAAAAACGAAGAAAACCCACCATTTCTTCTACAAATTCAAAAAGAAAAGAAAAAAAAAAAGAAGAAAACACCGAGTAGAAAGTACCTGACCGAGAACGGCATTGGGGTGAACTATGGCAGTGGGATGTACAAAGCTAGATTCTGTAGATGATCACAACAAAAGAAACGAACTTTCTTCTTTCAAGTTTGAACTAAATAAAAACAAAAAGTTGGCGAGAGAGAGAGAGAGAGTTACCGGAGAAAGAGGAGGAGAAGCGTGTAAGAGAGAGAACGGAGGAAAGTGCGATGGTGGAGCTGCGAAGTTTCGAGACGCGGTACATTTTTTTTTTTTTTTAGTTGTGTTTCTCTTCTCTTGTGTGTCTGAAATCTGAGCAAAAGCGACGGACAGTCTCAACTACAAGCTTTCTAGTTGCCTATATTTACTGAGGCGCTCTCTCCGTCTCTAATCCCCGCCCAGCCTCTCTCTCTCTCTCTCTCTGTTTGATTATTTATTTTTTTAATGATAATTAATTTTAAGGGAGATTTTCTATTATGTCTCGCGTACTAGTAGGTCAAGAGTATATTTATTTTATGACTCAAGTATATTAATATAATATTTTCTCTAATAAAAATTTAAATTTAATTTTTTTATTAATATTTTTTTCTCATATACATAATTCAAATTATGCAAAAGAACAAGCTTTAAGTTTTTCTATCCGTTAAATTTATATATTTTTTGACTTTTATGTATTTTTATACAAATTTAATAAATAAAAAACTTTACTTATTAATATGTTAGACGTATTGAAAAAAAATCTTTAATTTTAAAAAAAAAAAATTCTCAAGAATTCAAAATTTTCTTTATAGTCTAAAGAGAAAATACCCAAAACACCTCGTGTACTTTACCTAAATACCACTTTTACTTTTTTACTACACAAATGTCAAAAATATTTTTTATATTTATGAAATCAGACTCAAAATACTCTAAAGCAATTAAATTTTTGAAAATATCAAGATTGTCTTCCCACTCTATATTAAATTTTATTTTGGATATGATTTAATTAAAAATTTAATAAAAAGTTTTTAAAAAATATTCAATTATTAATTAAAAAAATTTATTGGAAACTCCAAAAGCAACTTCTATTACTTTTGAGAATTTTTTTTTTTTTTTTTAAAATGCGGTACTAATTTATCCTAAAAAAGGCTTCTAATAGCAAAAAGTTTTCTCCCAATTTCAATCACCTTTAAAAGCTCTTTATGAGTAGTGGAAAGCAAAAATCTGTCTTCTAAAAGTTGGGAAAAAAAAAAGAAAGAAAAAACTCTTTTATCATCTTTAAGTTGTCTCGTCCATGTTGTTTCAGATATTGAAGGATTGGTGTCGTTTGATGTATCGGCATGTCGTTGTCTTTAGGTTGACTGTCGTTTAGAAGAAAAACGAGTAGCTATTTTTGTTGTATAAGTTTATTGTCGTTTACAGTCTACAGCATGTTGTCCCTTATTTACAAGTTCACCGTCTTTAATAATATATAGAACTGTAAGTTTGAGCCAGGTTAAATAGATCGATCTGAGTCTTGTTACTGTTCATCCAAGCTTGTCTCTAAATTTTTTAGATTTAGAGCTGGGCTGGGCCGACCCTCTCGCTTTTAGGACTGGGCCGAGCTGGCCCGAATATCATATTTTTTTTTAAAAAAAATACCTTATAAAATTTCAGGCCAAATCGGGGAGAGGCCCTAAACCTTTGGGGTTTAAAGCCGGCCGGACTAGACCGACCCTTTCTCTTTTAGGGCCGAGCCAACCTAAAATTTCTCTTCGGGCTGCCAGCTCAGACCGAGCCAGGCCGGGTGGCTCAAACTTACACCTCTAAAATAATGTATATAAAGTGCGATGTCGTTTTCCTGTAAAAGAATGATGTCGTTCAGTAGTATAAACTTCGTGTTGTTTCCATCTAAAGTTTGGCGTGGTTCCCGACTAACAACATGTGGTGTATTTTTATTTGAAAAGCTACATATCGTTTTACGACTTCAATAAAAAATCCAGTGATTTCACGTTTCATCTATTGGTATCCTTCGAGAAAACGACATTTGATCTGTTTTCACGTGAAAAGCATCCCATCCAAGATCCACTGTCGTTTCCTACTAACGATATGTCGTTTGTACTATAATAATGTGAAAAGAAACACGTCGTTTCTAAATCACACGAGATGTCATTTATTAACTTTTGAGTATATGTTGTTTTCTGACTTTGTATAGGTGAGATGAATTATTTGAAATTCATAAATTTTTAAGCCTCATTCATTTCACCAATTTAAATTTTCAGTTTTAAATTTCTACAGTAAAAAATTCTCAAAAAATGTCACATTTAACTTTTTCTACTACAGTGAAAAGCTCTAAGAAAATGTCACATCTCAGCTCAAATTAAAAACTCGAATCCGCAAAGTGAACGAGGTTTCTAATAGGTTATATTTTTCTTCATATAACCTTAGAAATGGCCAAACTGATATTCTGAAAAAAAATAAAATAAAATAAAACAGAACTGGTCAAACAAAAAAAAATGGTCTCAGAGAGAGAGAGAGAAGGAACAGAAGATTAATTAACAAAATTCATCTGGGCACTAGAAGAGACAGAATTTACATAACGATGTATGTCTATCAAATAATACAAAAGTATAATCTATATGTTCTGTACCACAAAATTTCAGGAGCATTATTACATTGCAACACTATTAGCTAGATGACTATGCATTTGGTTGGTGGATTCGTACCATGATTCGGATCATGGTTCGTGGCTCGCTACAGTATTTTATCTCACAAAAAAACACACGTAAATCGAGAATGGTTCTGAATTCATGAACCAAACGTCCACTAAATGACTCCGACTACTAGATACACAACTCAAGAAGAAACCAATTTATTTACAGTCACATCCCTCTCAAAAGAGACCAAAATTCATACAAACGCGATTGAAGGCAACAAGTCATTTCTTATATAGGCTGCCTAAGAAAATGGTCTTCATAAGCCTCGTTTTTTTTCAACATATTTCTCCATTTGAACTGCCCTTTTTCACTAGCCTCCTCAAGATTACTGCATTATTTTGTGTATTTTATTTGCTAATTACTCACAGTTGATCAAGGAGCTGACGGCAATGTCGCCTTCCAAAATTCGAAGCACCTAGAGAGTGAAGATTTATTAGTTTCAAGACAAATCAAAGGCACACTAAGTGGTGTTTCTCATCAATATGACGAGTTTTCGAGTTTTTTTCAACTTGTGAGTACAGAGTTTCATACTTGGGACATGCGAGGCCTCGAATAAGAATGCCTTCTGATGCACAAGGAAGCACATTGCAGCACATCACAAACCTCTTGCTTCAAATAATGGTTCCCTAGCTGCGGGTCTATGAGTTCCTCAACCGAAAGCGTTTCTAGCAAAGGCCTTGCCTGCGAGAGATTTGAGTTTAAACAATGATCAAGGAAGAAAACTTCAGTTAAGTCCTCTTTTTCTGAAACTGTAACTACTGGTAACTTAAGGGTGAGACAATTTATTAACCCTTTTGCTAGTGTTCTATGTTTAGGACAAATAAATGTTAAGAGTGTACAAAATGAGATTTATATATCATCAAAATTTGTTTAATTCGTACCCACTCAGTAAGGCATTGTTGGCCTTTCGGGCGGTTTATGTCCACGGCTTTCCTTCCTGTGACAAGCTCCACCAGTACTACTCCAAAGGAATACACATCAGCTTTTTCTGTAATTTGTCCACTTTGAGCATACTCTGGAGCTAAGTACCTGATTAGAGGCAGGGCTTTGATTAATTAGTCATTCGAAGCAAACACAAAAGATAAGAAAGGTGTTTTTTTTTTAATTTTTATTTTAAGTCATGGTTTTACCCAAATGTTCCAATCACTCTTGTTTCAACCTCTTTGCCACCATCTGGCTGCCACCTCGCCAGTCCGAAATCCCCAACCTGTAACCCCAAAAATCGATATCATTAGAGGGTTAAGACATGGTCTCTTTGATACAAGCAACCAATTAAAAAAACAGAAAGAAACAATGCACTACAGTCAATAGAGCTGGTGAAGTGATTATTTTAGAATATTTTGCAAGAGGCGACAAGAGCACGTACTAATGGTTCGAAATCATGTGTGAGAAGGATGTTGTTAGGCCTCATATCGCGGTGAATAATGCAGCCGACTCTACACTCTTCATGAAGGTATCTCAATCCCCTTGCTGCTCCAACAGCAATCCTTTTCCTTGCCGACCATTCCAAGGGATTTTGATCCTGTCCTGAAAATTTTGAACATTGCACTTAACTTGGTCAGCCATTATGCAAAATAGAAATCTGGCCATATAGGTGTTCATAAAGGCCAAAGCAGAGCCTTTTGACAAAATGAGTGCTCAAGATTCAAGATAATTGATAGATGTGCCAAAGTTTCTATGCAAAATATTTACATTATTGCATTATACGGCAGAAACAAGGAGAAAGAGAATTTACCATAAAGACGTGCATCCAAGGAGCCATTGCAAATGTATTCATAAACAAGCAACCTTCTCCCATCCTCCACACAAAGCCCTATAAGCATCACAACGTTGCGATGTTGCGCACAGCTTAGGACCTCCACTTCCGAGCAAAACTCAATATCACCTTGAGAACTAGCTAGCTTGTGTTGCTTAACAGCAACTACCTGCCCATCTGGTAAGACACCTTTGTATACAGAACCAAATCCACCTTCAGCCAAAAAATTCGCTTGCGAAAATCCACTTGTGGCAAGTTCTAGTTCGCTGTAAGTGAACCACCTTGGAGGATTCCCAAACACAGGTGCCTTGTGCTGACATATAGAACACAATGGAGGGGGACCAAGAGGGGCATTGCTGCACAAGGAAATTGCTTCCCTCACACTTCTGCTTAAGTTCAAATCAAGCCTGTAATTCAGCATTCCGATATTGGGTTCTCGGTCTAGTTTGGACAAGTTCTCCAACAAAGCTCCATATGAGGACATCAGGGACTTGTCATAGGATCTCTCTGAGCCTTCTGCTTTTGAGAACTCACCACTAGGACTGAGGAAATCTGCGATCCATGGATGGTAATATGAGCTTGTGAAATAAGAACTTGGCTTTTCGCTGTTTGTTGTCTCAGAGTCAGATTCAATCAAGCTCTTGCTCTCTTCAAGAATGAATGGATAGTCTTTCTTTAGGCCTCCACGAATTCCAGAGGGCAAAAATGGTGAAGCCCCAGGCTCTGATGAACTTGACATTGATGTTCTTCCGACATCAGTTATAGTTAGAGGTGACTCTTCATCTGGACTACTTGCAGGTGTCACAGCTGGCCCTCTAATCACATTGGACTCTTCAAACTTGTCTTTCAAGTGCTTTGGAAAAGTTTCTAACTCGGGCGATAAACAGTAGCTCGTTTCGAGTTCCATCTTCGGAGAATTGATGAAATTGAGACGAAGAATCTCTGGCCCTGCTTGCTTCATGACCACAATGTTGCATTGAAGCTCTTCCATGCAGTATCTCTTTTCATATTTCAATTGTCTGCCCAGAGTTTCACAAAACAATGATATGAAAAACAGTACTAAGGGAAGCCTTCTTAGGGAATGAAAGATGCTTATATATAAGAATCCATGCCAAAAACAAAAATTGTTAATTTCTGTATATTACTTATCCAATATAACCCAGGTTGATTGTATTCTCTTGGCTTCAGCGGCAACTACACCGGATGGAGAACTGGAGACGATTTTTACCCTGATCTTTATCTGCAAAGAATAATCCAAAGATGGACAAGGTCATGTTTTGGATTAAACTAAAACAATATAAGAACCAAATTGTGAAAACTAGTTGTTAGACTTGCCTTCTCTGGATCATAAACATCATGGAGTTGAACCACCATCTTAGAGCATGAATCTACGATATCATGCTTCTCATCTGGACTGTTTCCTGAGAAAGATTTGTGCCTAGTGGTGCAATCACTAATGAATCTGGAGAAATCCCATATCCTCTTACCTAAAACCACACAACATTTCCATCCAACATTAACAGGCAGAAAATTGAAGAAAAAATAAATTAAAAGAAAATCACCATACATCTAATGTAAAAATAAAAACTACAACTTGATTATCAGTAAAATACACTCTGGAATCTGGACTACAGAGAAGGAAAAAAATCATCTCAATATTTCAGTTTCATCTAGAGTATTATAATTTACAGAAATTGCTAGGAAACATATCTAGCAGTCATTGTCACTAAACATATCATATCACTATCCTAACTTAACCATGAAACCTAAGACAAATCGCCTCAGGAACCAAGTGTTGAGTTTACGGAGCCTAACTATTATCTTAACAACAGAATCAATACGTGGAGAAAAGCCCATAAGACTTCTAACTGGGTATGGGTTTAATGAGTAGATACCCAATACTGATCCAACTAGGTTTAATGGGACCCTAGTGAGACAGTATATAAGGACATTGGAGGTTATAGTCCCCAATACATCAAATCATTCTACAGACTTTCTCCTCTACCCCCATATGGAGAGAAAGACGCTATTAAGGAAGTCATGAGACTTGACTGAGGAAGACAATAACCCGTTCATCGTTCATCGATCATCGCAGATATTCTGATAAGGTGTTGATTGTTACCGCCATGGATACAGGTATTTATTCCTCATTATTGAATCTTGGTAATAGGCATGAATTGATCCTAGGACTGTGTTCTTCATATTCTACGGTCCCCCCCTCTTCTGATAGTAAAAAATTAGGGCCTCTAAATGTTAACACTACATTGTATTGCCACATACCAATGACACGCTTAAAAGGGTCTCAAACTAAACTGTGCACCCACTAATAAGTAATAATTTAGTGCCAGTAGATTCATTTTCTATTTTTGATGGACTAGTAGATTCATTTTGAGTGCAAGAAAATTTGTCAAGTAAAATAGATTATAGAAACACAACATAACGAACCAAACTTTATGAAACTTTCCAGAACTAATTAAACATCTATGAACTAAAACTGACAAAAATCTTGTCACTGAAAGAGAGAGAGAGAGTGGATTACTTAAGGTGTGAGAAGGAATGACCACCAAGAGCTTGATGCAATCACCAGGATGCACAACATGAGTCAGAGCCCACACAAGAGCCGCCTTTGAAATTTCCTTTGCCGCTCTAACAGCAACCACAACCACCTTCCCATCCAAATCAAAACCACCACCCAACTTATTATTATCACTATCCTTCACACTCTTCTGTTTCATAACTCGTAAAAATAATTCACAAATCACCCCCCCAATAGCAATTCCTCAAACCCCACAACAGTCAAAATTATTCAAAACACGCCCATCTCAAAACTCCTTCCACAGAGACCGTACACCGCCAAAACAAACAAAACCCATCAGCAGAAAGTTACAACCTTAGGTATTATCAATATCAAATATCAACCCAACACAAAGCACAAGAAAAGTAGTACAAGAAGAAATAGAAGGAGCTAGGAGGAGACAGACGAGCACTGTCTCCTAGGTGAGTTAGCTAAACATGTGAATTATAAAGTCCAAAACGCTTTTTTCTTTCTTCTCAACTTTTGAAATATGCCAGCTTTGGGATTAGGACAAAACAATGCAGCAACTTTTTCCAAACACAAGATCGTTTCATTTCATTTTCATTTTCATTTTTTTTTCTCTGCATTTTCGTGGACACATTGGACCTACAATTATTAATGTTATTATATATATTGTGTGTGTGTATATTTGTTCATGAATTTTGTGTGCCAAGAGAGGAGTTTTGTTGTGGGAACGAGGCAGTTGGCCTAAGTTGGACTTACTTGTGTGTTGTTTTGTTGGCATCTTCTCATTTCGGATTTTAGCATAATCGCGAGATGGAAACCGCCAAGAAGGAAAAAAAAGGAACAAAACGACACTAAAGAAACGGATAATGGTGTCTTTTTTATTGATTAAAGGGCACTTGCTCACTTACTATTTATAGTTTGAAGTTTGAAATAAGTAGATCAATGATTGGAGCTGTATTTTCTTTCATCTTTTCTCCACCTTAGAAAAAAAATACTTACTTCTTTTTTCTCTTTTGACTTGAGGAACCCTTAAAAGATTTTGATCTTTTGGGCACTGTTTTCTGGTTCTTGGTTTGGGTAGTACTTTTAAAAACATTTATTTACTTTATTCCTTTAGAAGATCTCGGTAATCAATATGGCCCTTGGAAGATAGTGAAATGAATACTTGATTAATGAGAAAATTGAAAACAAAAATTGAAGGGTCATTTGATTGCGTTATGTTTATCATAATGGAAACGTAAACTCATATGGATAGCAACAACGAATAACATAAAGGAAATAAGATAACTCATTACATAGGTGATATAGATGGGAGATGGGCAACATCAAATGAACGGCTAGGATGACATCTTCTAGTTGCCCAAGAGACAAATAAATATTATTATTTGTTTGTTTTATTTCTTGTCTTATATTCATAAGTAGCTTTTGATTTGACCCTATGATTTATAAATAATAATGAAAAAACAACCTTTACATCTTGGTGTGTTTCTTGTTGTTTATTTTCCCCCCTTTTCCTTTTCCTTTTTTGGCTGTGTAACCTTCATCTTTTTTTTTTTTTTTCTTTATACCAATACAATGATATAATTGATATGCCAATTGTAAATTTAGTATTTAAGTGTAAGAAAAAATTCTCTAATACAATACTATTTGTTGTGTCAAATTTCTCATATGCTATACTTATAGTAAATTTCTTACCAAGTATAGCACAAGAAAAATTTAGCGTTTGATTGCTATTGATTGAAATGTTTACTTTTTCATGTACTCATTGCAATTTTTGTATTTTTTAATTATTTTAAAATAAAAATTTACCTTTACAACTTTCAAAGCTCAGTAATCATGAGAAAAAGTAGATTTAGGATTTTAAATAGCATTATTTATTGGAGTGAAAATGAAAATAACATACCATATCACATTTTTTATGTTAAATATATAATTGATATTAACATTTACATTGAACATAGTCTTAAGTGAATGGTTTTATTATGCTACTTAAAAGTTAGAAAGAAAATTCAAATCGTCAAAAATTGACGACATTTGTCCCTTGGGATGATAGATATTGTTGCCAAGTATTTATCTATACGAGCGTTACAAAGCTAAAAGAGAAAATGACTTTTCTTTTTTTCTTTTTTATCGCCTGGAGAATAATTTCATTAAACTGTAAACAGAATGGCTATAAGGTTTGCTTTGTTCAACTACTTGTACAACATATTTGTTTGCCTGCATCGCCATTAAATTTGTCAGCTTACCTAGAAAAACGACATTTCATTCGTGTTTAATAAGTTTGTAGCTTACCTACAAAACGACATTTCATTTGTGTATAATAAGTTTCTGGGCGTTGAAATGTAAAACGGCAAATTATTCTGGGTTTAGACGATATCTATCTCGAGTTTGGAAGTAACAAACGGTTCCCTCTAAAAAGTTTTCCCTCATCATTTTTGTCTGAAATTTTATTGTAGTTTAAATATAAACGACATATAGATTCTCTCCTAATTTGATGTCGTTTGTGTACCCAACCAGTTTGTCGTTTGCAATTTGTGAAAGGGATCTAAACAAAAACAAAAAAAATTTGTACCATATATTTTGGCGTTAATTAGAAAGAAAGAACATATTTTCGATTATTGCAAATCTATAGCATCAACTTCATTCATAGGCCAATGCATACTTTTTCTCAGAAAATGTATTGCATTGACCAAGAAATGCTGAAAATACCCTCGAAAAAAAAAAAACCAAAATCGCATATAAAAGATAAATAAATAAAAACAATACTACAAAATAAAAAAAGAAACGACATATCGTTCATCAAGAAAAATAAAACGACAATCGTTCTGTGGGAAAGTTTCCCGCCGTTTGGTAGAAGAGGCTCCGATCGCACCTTTAAGCCCAAATTAGAGGTTCCATTCGATGGACACCCATAAGCCCTAACTCTCAACAATCAACAATTCAAGTAATATCGCCATTTTCAAGTTCTCTGGTTCGCCTCCAAACTCCACATTTCAGTTCTATGCCCTAGCTTTATTCTTATGCGGTTCTGAAAGTCACAGCCTTTTGCTTTAATACGGTAAATTGTTCAAACAATTTTTTTTTATTTTTTATTTTTTTGCCCTTTTCAATTCCTCAAGCTTTACGGTAGAGTTAACATAACGGACGGCCGTCCCGGTTATAATTGATTTCATTTTTATTTTTTAAGTTTTTATTTTTTTAAAAATAAAAATATTTTTAAAATAAAACTGACATTTGATGGTGTAATAAAAATAAAAATAATAAAAATAATTTTTTAATTTAATATAAAATGAGAAAAATAAAAATAATTTTTAATCATTATTTTTATTTTTATTTTTTTTAGCAGAGAGAAAGATAAATATTAATATATTTTTTTATACTGAAAATAATTTTTTAATAAAACTACTAAATGTATTTTTAAAAATAATTTCTATCTAAAATTAAAAATATTTTCATTTTTATTTTCATATAAAAAATAAAATTATTTTGAAACAAGTCTAAACGCACTTAATGTATTCTTATACACGGAGACGTTTAGTTTTATGGATTAGAATAATGAGATTAGAACTATTTTTGATTTATGTGTATTTTTTATGAGAGAAAATACTATAACGAACTACAAACTATAATTCGAATCGGAATAGGAATTCCCTAATCAAACAACACAGTAGTCTCACATATATAGTTTACTTCTGTTTATAATTTTAGCTAATATAGAAGAAAATTGAAAATGTAAAAGTTGTTTTTTTTTCCTTTCTTTTTCTGTACTTTTTTCATCTGCTAGCTGAAATGGGTTTTTTTATTTTATTTTATTTTTTCCTCATCTGGTGAGCTGAAAAGGATGGAGTTCTCAGTCAGAGAAGTCAAAATCATTTAAAATAAAATGTTTTTAAATTTTTGTATCAATGATTTTCCTTTATTTATTTGGTCAGAGAATGTTATATCGTTTTTTTTTTTTTTTTTTTAATTAGAATTGGGAATGGCAAGACTTATTTTAGCTATTATACAAGAAAATTGAAAATGCATGCTGTTTTTTAGGGTTAGACTTTTGAAATTAAAATAACATTTTTCTTTGGGTTTAATAATATCTTCTCACAAATTTGTTGGATCTTGCCTCGTTTGTTTAGCTGGAGCTTTTTCCTCCAAGTGATTCAATGGTCATTGATATGTGGGGTGATGAATTCCACTTCTAGTATTGCTGCTGTTGTGGAAGGTTCTTATTCTTGGACTAAACATCTAACCATTGGACCCCTAGTGAGCATTGATCGCCCATTGGTATTTTGGGGTAATGATGTACTTGAGAACCAAACAGGGTGTGATTATCCACTACAACCTTGTCACCCAATAACTTGCTGATCATCCTGTCTTTTTGGGAAGGTTTAGGAGTCGTTGTCTAGTTGTTGATGTGAAGAGTTTAGTTTCAGTACTCAAAAAAGCAAGGAGAAACTCAACCGTAGAGATGATTGATCCTAGCTCTGGTTCACCATGCCTCAAAACTTCATAATCGATAGCGCAGATGATCTTGAGTTGCGCTCACTTTTCATATTGCTACTAATTTCTAGTATTTTTCTTGTTCATTGGAAAAGTTTGCCAAGTACAATGTTTTTTTGTCGACTAAAGAAGTTTCCTAGTTGGTCGATCTAAGCGTGAAAAGTTCATTTTATAGACCGTTAACATAATTTAATCTGATATCTATCTTCGTATAAGATAGCATGTGAATGGTGTAATTCCTTGTACCGAGTAATACTTTGTATCCAACTTGCGTTTCTTCATCAGCATGTAATGCGATTATTACATCTCACTTTTTCATTATATAGGGATTTTCAGCTCTTACTGCGATCTAAGCCAACAAAATTTAAAAGCAACGCTCAGTGATAAACTCAAAATGAAAAAAGACACTGCAAATAAACTTGTAACTCTTCCAACAGATTACGATAAAGTACAGGGTACTAAAATAATATTACTAGGCTCTACTCTTCCAAGCTCTAATATCAGGAATTTTTATTTCTGTCTCTGGCACGATAGAGTTAATCTGGTTTTCCCTTGTTTTTGCTTTCAGACTCTGCCTATCCACTGGTTCTCCTCTTGTACTCTCACTATATGTACATGTATATTATTTGTGTGCGGTCTCTTTTTTTGTATGTGTAAGTCTAGAGATCCAATACTTTGTCGTGTAGTTACAATCATTCTTTGATTACTTTGCTGACTATTATATCTTAACTTTTGATTGTATAGGGCTACACATCTCTTACTATGATTAATTAAGCCAATGGTGATAAATTCAAAGATGAAAACAGGAAAGGTACTTTTCCTTTTAAGTATCTTGGTGTTCCTATTTTTAAAGGTACGCCCAAGATGTGTTCATCTCCGTTCAGTCGCAGATAATGTGGTTAGTAAGCTTGCTTCTTGACCTTCTTTCTACGGCCGGTAGAATTGAGTTGGTGAAGACGGTGATTACTTCCTCTCTTTTGCACTCTTTTATGGTCTATAGTTTGCCAAAGTCTCTTCTATTGGTGGTTGGTAACGCTATGAGAACTTTTATTTGGTCGGGTTCGGTGGAAAATATAAAGATAATTTCTGTTTCTTGGGATAAGATTTGCAGACCTCTTGGCAAAAGTGGTTTGGGTATAAGGAATTTTAGCTCCTAACAAGGGTTGTTTGCACAGCGATGAGGCCTTTTCTTTTTTGAGAAGTTGTTTTGTGAAGGCTGATGGCTCGCCTAAGTCACATATCTAGGTTGTTGGTTGTTAAAAGTTCTAAAGTGAATTTGTCTCCTACAGCATTCACACCCAAGAACCTGTTGGTCGTTCTATCAAATTGGGACGGTTTGAGACGGATCGTCTTGTTGTTTATACGAAGAGTTTGGTTTCGGTTCTCAAAAAAGCAGGGAGAAACTCGAACATAGAGGTGACTGATCCTAGCTCTGGTTCCTCGTGTCCAAAAACTTCATTAACGGTAGAAGCACAAAACAATTGTATGATGTGCGGATGATCTAACGCCAGTCTTGACTTGCGCTCACTTTTCATATTGCTAATAGTTTGATTTCTACTTTCTAAGTATTTTTTGTTGTTCATTGGAAAAGTTTGCCAAGTACAATGTTTTTTGTCGAGTAAAGGAGTTTCATAGTCGGTCGATTTTAGCGTGAAAACTTCATTTTGTAGACCATTAACATAATCTGATGTTTATCCTTGTGCCGAGTAATTCTGTGTATCCAACTAGCGTTTCTTCATCACCATCTAATGCGATTATTAGATCTCACTTTTTCATTATATAGGGCTACCCAGCTCTTCTTACTGCAATTTAAGCCGACAAAATTTAAAAGCTGTCACGCAGTGATAAATTCAAATATGAAAAAAAGGACACTGCAAATAAAATTGTAACTCATGGACATGGTCACCAATTTGATCAATATAGCAGTGGCTACAACATGTTAATTCCTCGGTTAAAAAAAACAATTTTGCTTCTGGTAATAAATCATGCTTTCTATCTACATAATCCATTTTATGAAAGAGAGTGATGTGTATAAGGTTATCAGCCAACAGATGACTAGAGCATTGCCAGTCCAATGACTGCCTGATCTAAGTTGAGGAATCAGGAATTATTTATTTAGATTTTGGAAAAGCTCTGGAAGATGGGCATTGGTCAGCTTAGTCCTCTTGCTGATTTCGTGCTTCTTCTTCTTCGTCTTGGGCTTAGAGGAAATGCCTTGGACTTGCGCCATTGCCCTCCTCTGTGCAGTGTTGGTGGCAGGCTTCATACCATTCTTCTGGAGATCCTTCTCAATGTCGAGCATATCGCGAGGTAATTCAATTCCACGAAACAGCTGTTTAAGGTCGTCGTCCACCTTAATGGGAACTCTGGGGTCATTTGGATATGCAATGTCCTCCTGAGAATCCAAGTTTGATAAAAGCCAGATCTGACCCGCAGCTTTCAAAGACTAGGAAAGAATGGTTCGTTAAGGTTCCAGCGCAAGATAAATTAGCTCCGATATAGAAGATATGTGCATTAGTTACCAGCATAATCACCATCTCATTTTATGAACCTTAACCTAAGCTGAAAGTTCATAGATTAATCATAACATGAAAGAGATGCACAGTCTTCTTTTGTGAATTGACCTCATCAAAAGGATCCCACGAGGTCAAATAACTAAGGGGACCAGAGGGATTCCATTCATTTTTTGCAATAAATCCGATAAAAAAAGGACTCGTTCAAAGGGCTTCTTTACGATGACAAGAATCGTTTGTTCTGATTAATTCAAAACGAGGAAAAGAATGGTGACAACTCAAAGAGTTATCATACATAATACTGAATTTTTTATAAGCTGCTCCAAAAAATGATAACTAATGCTTTTACGTGAAAAAAGAACCACTTGCAATATTAAACATACCTGCAAGTCTTCCATTACAGTTGGGTATGCATCCTTGAGATCAATAACAGCAATGCCCTCTGGAAATTTTCGTACTAAGTAAAGAAGTTGACTTTTATCCTTCAAATCATGTTTGGACTACAGAATAACAGAATCAAACACAAGTCAAACTACCATCCTTAATGAAAAAGATGAGTGGAAAGTTCTTACCGAAGTTCCAAAAAAAAAAATAATAATAATAATAATAACCAAAGAAGCTTCATTCAAATAAGAAAAAGAGTGCAGATAAGATAAATAATAACCTTATAAGAAAAACGCTTTCCATCGTAGTTCACTTTAGGATTTTTCCTTAAACTGTCGAAGACAGTCTTATTTGCATTAGTATCTACATAGCACGCTTCATTTATCTGCTCTGGTGTTAGGGCTTGCCTCGTCTGCAAATACATTAAAACATAGTAAGTGGTACTTCTGGACTGGTCAACTTAAAACCAAAGAGGAATCACAAAATATAAAAATGGCTAAACTGAGCTTTTCATTAATTGAATTACATATATATGGGCACCTAATACATAACTAACTCAGAATTAGTTACGGAGAAGGATCTAAATCGGAAACTAATCTATCCACTTCTTCTGAGATGGTTAACTGAATTACAACTACTCTAACTGTATTAACCATTCCCAAATAGGTCATAACTAGATGCTCTTTATGCCGCCACTACTACAAGTCATAAAATATGAGCAAAAAATTTCCTCAATTTTTTGTTAATCCTAGGTAGAAACTTCATCAGAAGTTAGCAAAAATAACCACAACAATGGCTCAAACATGGGTCCTCCAGATTTCAAAATTACACAGCCTTTTAATCACCTGCAAGTTTCCATAATCATCCTAAAAGGATATATAATTCATCAAGACAAGAAACAAAATTTGGGTTTGAACCTCCAGGAGGAGGTCTATAACACGCTTGATCTGAGCTCCAGCTGGGGATTTTCGAATGCTGTTTATGTGTTGAAGTCTCTCTGTATCAGTAGAAAACTTGACAGCAGGAGGAGGAGGCTTGGAAATTGCAGGAGGCATAGCAGGCGTGACTTTTTGGGTTGGTCTAGCTTTATTAGATGCAGCAATACTGGTGAGAATTGATTGACAACTCTCTTGCTGCTTTTTAAACTTCTCCAATTTTTCTTGCAATGCCATCTGAAAATACAGTTATTATCAACTTAGAACTCCAAATTCATCAAAAACATACGCCCAATTATCAACAACTAAAGCTTAAAGGAGAAAAAAAAAGAGAGTGTACTTTCGTTGAAGATATAAACGATAGTTACTTGGTGTTAACAAGTAAAGCTCAAAAAAACAAGATATTTGGTAATCAATTATTTGCAACTATCCACAACAAATGTTGAACTGCACCAATTTCTTGGTTAACCCCCTCAAAAAACAAAAACAATAACAATAACAAAAACAAAAAACACCCAATTCTTTTTTCTTTTATTCCATGCTAATTCGACCAAATTTATATCTGGAAAAATGGGAATTTTTTGGTACAGATTATAACTAATTTTAAACAGCAATTTCCCACACATGATAAGTCGCTACAATTTTTTCAATCAGATTTGTGTAAAAAAAGAGCAAAATTTTAAACTACCAATAAAGAACAGGCTCAGATTTTCCTACCTTCTCTCAAGTCGAGTAACACCCCAAAGCTAGGTTTTCCCCCTTTTTGTTTCTTGTTTTCCTTACCTGATACCAAAGCACAACGGGCAAAACGATTGTCAGAAGTATACGATTATCAAGAACTCGAAATTGCCTTCTTTAAATCATTCTTTTACTAATATTCGAAAGTGAATTAGAATTGCCGATTGATATGCGATTAATTAGAAGAAAAAGACGAAAACTTTTAAAAGGAAATTTCCATCCAATCCGCGAATTTCTACAGTTCCAAACATGAATATTATCCAGCGATTATAATCAAATCGCGGAAACGTTGCATCCACAATCGCAGGAATGTTGAATCCTTAGAAAATCGTAATCACAAACCAAAACAATCAGTACAAAGCTTCTTCTGAGAGGCCAAGCCGCGAAACCTTACCCTTTTGCCGCGCCTGAGAAAAGACGGCGATGAGAGAGAGAGAGAGAGAGAGAAGCACAGACTTTTGGCTTTTGACTCCAGCGTCGCAATTCCGTCAATTTACAAGCTCCTATGAAGGGTAAAGTAGTAAAATAACAGATTAAAGTTAAAAAACGAACGGTAAAAGTAAAAAGAAAGAGATAAAAAAATAGATTGGAAAAAAAAAAGAAAGAGGAGACATTACCGCAATCAATTACGTGTTGCCACGTGGGCTGAAGTCAGCGCATAATTGACTCTTTTTTTTTTTTTGTCTTTCAAAGATTCCCAAACGGGCCAGTCACGGGCCAGTCAAAAAGGGGGGTTTTTTTTTTTTTTTTTTTTTTTTTTTTTTTTTTCATATAGAAAGAGAACAAAGGGAGTTTTCAAAGTGCGAGTGACGGTCATATTTCTTGGCCGGAGCCGAGACATAGTCGCCGGAGATCCGGTCGCCGTCATGTCGAGGTTGAAGAGGGAAGACTGCAAGAGGACCAAGCACGACCGTGAGTTCTCCAAATGGGAGGTAATTTCTGACTCTCTCTCTCTCTCTCTATTTTCTCTCTGTGCGTGTGTTTTTGGAATTGGGAATCGAGATTTTGAATTACTAATTACAATTTGAGAGTGAAGCGAAATGTCTGTAGTGGTATAATCTTCCAAGTTGAATTCTTTAAGCATGTCGAATGAAAATGAGGAATAGGTTTATGTGGGCAAATCAAATATGTGGCACTTGTATTTTCCTTTTTGTGGTTTTTGATTATTGCAAGGTTAGTGTTGGTGTTTATTATATGTTGCTTGTGTTGATTCTGTACTCAATTTCATTATTTAGCCAATTTCAGAATTACCGAATTTCACAACTGATCTTTTCGGTCCTTATATCGTCTTGTTTATAATAATAAAAAATCATATAAACAACCAGAATCAGGTGATTTTACTCCAAAGTGGTGGAAACGACCGCACTTACTAAACTAAATTCAACGTGTTTGAGTAAGTATTTAGTTTTATATGGTGTTTTCATCATTGGCTTGTTTTCTTTTCTCTATCTGTTTTAGATTCTCATTGGCCCTTCTGATTGGGAAGAGTATTTGCTGGGAAAGGAAGGAGCTGAAAGGTATAGGGTCCATAACCTGCCCAAAAATTCAGGTCCAGGGGTGTATGAACTTGGCATAGCCGTATCTCGTACCGGTTTAGGCCGTGAGATAGGCAAGCTTGACCCAGAACGCATAGTTGTTGTCTACCTTGGACAAGCTGACAATGTGAGGACTCGACTTCAACATTATGGCCGTACTGGTGCTCATTTGGGCAATAGCTGCCCTCCTCAGTGTAAAACAGTCATTCCGCAGAAAGGCCCAGGATTGTTTGAGGAGATACTTTCAAGAGGCTATCCTATTATTTTTAGATGGGCACCTGTGAGTATACTATATATCCCTTATTTGTTCCTTCATATTTCGTGAATGGCTTGAACTCTAGACGTCAAGCAGGCTGATTTATTATACACTAGATATCACAGAGAACGCACATACAACTGCCTTAGAGCTTTAGTTATTTATCAAGTTCTGATTTTATAGGAGAAATAAAGGTCTACTCATCTATTTTAGTTATCCTGTAATATTCATCCAGATACTTGGCCCTGATGGTGTTTATCCATCCAACAATGTGAACTCGGTTTTGGAGATGAAATAGTATTGGAACAGTTCTAATAATAGGCTTTGCAGCAAATTTTAGGTGTTATAATCTTTCTTAAGTCGTTGGAGAAACAAGTGTTTTCTATTTCCATTTGATCGCATTAGGATGGGGTCTAGGCGTCTAGCAAGTGGCTAGTGCCATTATCCTTGTGTACTTAATTTTCTATAACATGATTCTGGACTTATTGTGGAGGGTTCACTGGGAACATAGATTATAGCATGATGCTGGGACTGGTAGTCTACTTAATTTTTTTTTTTTTTTGTTTACTTGATGTTGGGACTGGTGGTGTAGGGGTTAACCAATGAGCAGATACATAGTTGATTGTGATTATTGTTCTTGCGTGGAAATGGAAATTGGAGCTTGCAATTTGGGAAATTATAATATCTCTTTCATATTTATTCGTTGATTGTCAAACAGATGCAAAGCAAAAGCGATGCCTTGAAAACAGAAACAGAGCTACTTAACACATTTGATTACGCATGGAACACGAGCATTAACGGTACACGGCGCCCTGATGATATCCTTAACAAACTGAAGAAGATTTCTTCATCAAACATCCACTTTTCTGATATTGCACGGAAGCTTGTACCTTTTAGTCAGAAGCAAGTGGGTATTAGGATTAAAGCAAGAAAATTTCCTTCCGCAGAGGAAAAAATTGATACTTCTGCTGACGAGGAGAGCCAGAATATCTTTTCTCGGGTTTTCAAGTTTGGCAGGTCACAACCCAAGCTAGTTCTGGATAGAAGTGTCATTGTTCTGGAGGATACTACTATATGTGGGATGGTTTTGGGCCTTGATTCCATCTGTAGAAGACCACCAGTTGAAGGAAGAAAAAGGTGTGCTGAACACAAAGGGATGAGGATAAAAGGGCCAGTTTCGGTTGCCTTGTCGAATAGCAACGTCAACTCACAATCCACTTTCTCTGCACCAAGTTCAAGCCTTCATTCAGAAGAGCTTCAACCAGTTACATTCAACAATGCATCAAGGGAGAGCTTTACTCCTATATGTGGATTCATCTTGGCTGATGGCTCTCCTTGCATCAGTCAGCCGCTTAAAGGAAACAAAAGGTGTCTCGAGCACAAAGGAAGGAAAATTCTTCAACAAACCAATTCTGCCTCAGTGACAAAAGAAAAACTGTATTATCTGCCTGATCCGGTTTCCGAATCCAAATCATCAGAGATTTGCTTCTCTGGAGAAGTACAAGCTCAAGCTTTTGCAAAGAGGTTAAATGCCAACTGTGATACAATATGTGGAGTAGTTTTAGGTGACGGGTTGGTCTGTACAAGGAAGCCTGTTGTGGGAAGAGTAAGGTGTGAGGAACACAAAGGGATAAGGGTGACTAGATTTGCCACCACCAAGTTTGCTGCAGAGAAACAAATCCAAGTTGTGTGAGAAAAGTTGCTGATGCATTACTTGAGGAATATTGCTCCATAGAACATATTTGTGTATGAGAATTGGTGCTCATGGAAGAAAATCATGTGAGCGGAATAGTTTGGTAGGAGGGAAAAGAGGAGGAAATAGATTGGGGAAGCAATTTCAATTCCTTTCAAATATGAAGAGGATGTTTGGTTGGAGGATTCAAATTATGATTTGAATCATGGTTCATGGTTCGTTACAGTATTTTCTATAAAAAAAAAATACACGTAAATCGAAAATAATTTTAATCACATGATTCTAATTCATGAACCAAACGTCTCCGAAGAGATTCGATGAGGGAGAGAGGTGACAGGATAATAAAATGATCTTAAGATTTGTGATTGTTTGGTCGGAGAGATTTTTCAATCTCTACCAATATGGAGAGAATATTCACCTCTTTTTTTAATGTCTTTTTATTTGCTTCTCCTTTTACCACGTAAAGTTTTAGGTCTCACATAGTCTCATAGACATTTTTGTGTAACTTATGTACATTATTTCCTAATTTAATGGTTATTTATTTACGTGTTTTTTTCCTTATATTTCTCCAATCAGGTGGATGTTGTATTCGGGGGGGTTTTTTTTTTTTTTTGAAATGGAAAAATATGTGTACTGCGAGGGGGAAAAAATCGATCTTGTTCGTAAAGAATAAAGATGGTTTTTTTTTTTTTTTTTTTTTTTTTTTTTTTTTTTTTTTTGTAAAAAAAAAAGGGTTTTTTTTTTTTTTTTTTTTTTTTTGTTTATTTCGTTTGGTTTATATATTACGTAAGAAAATCAGGCTTGACACGTGGCACAATGAAGAAAAATACAGCATATTAATAACCGCTCGTGGATTTCATCAGGATCCAAATCTTAAGGGGGAAAAAAAATCAAGCATCTTTAATTCTTCATTCACTATCGCTCGGCTTCAATCGGAGACGGAAATGCCGGCGGGCGAGATCCGGTATCTGCTGCAGCAGGCGTCGCTGGAGACGGCGACGGAGGAGGAGAGCAAAGAGGATGCGTGGGTTTGGATGCGGATAAAGGCGGAGGCCAAACGCGACGCCGAGTCGGAGCCGGCGCTGGCGAGCTACCTCTACTCGACGATCCTTTCTCACCCGTCGCTGGAGCGATCGCTGTCGTTCCATCTGGGGAACAAGCTCTGCTCCTCCACTCTCCTCTCCACGCTCCTCTACGACCTCTTCCTCAACGCCTTCTCCGACCCCTCCCTCTGCTCCGCCGTCGTCGCCGACCTCCGCGCCGCCCACGAGCGCGACCCCGCTTGTGTCTCCTTCTCTCACTGCCTCCTTAACTACAAGGGCTTTTTGGCCTGTCAGGTACTAAATTTTACCTTTTTCATCGAATTATTTCTTCGGTTAATCTTATAATTTTTGTTTTTTTCTTTCGAATTTTATGTTTCGTGTTGTAAAACGTGAAATTATGGCGGATTAAAGCGATGATCATAGGCGATTTCAAAGCTAAAGATATGGATTTTCCGGTTCGTATGGAAACTATTGCTCTGTTTCGTTTTGTAGAAATAAAATTCTAGGGTAGGGTAACGTCGCTGGTATTGGTTGGCACAGTAATAAAGCTTAGATTTTTATCGACAAATCTATTAAATTCTCTTGCTTTTTTAATGTGATAATGATATGATTTTGATATAAGGCGTCACACAATTTTCCTTGATAAAATTAGAAGAATTTTGCTTTGACCTCTATGTGTTTTCATGTTTTTAATTTTTTTCTACATTTCATAATTGAGTTTTGGATATTCAAGAATCTGATAGCAAAGATATAATAGTAATGCGAAGAGATAGACTTTATCTTGCGTTTTATAATCTTTAAATGACTTTCTTAGCAGAATCTTTATTCTCAATCTTTTTTTCCTTTTTTTTTTTTTTTGAATTGAATGTACGGTTGAACTTTTCAATTTTAGGCCCATCGAGTGTCACACAAGTTGTGGACTCAGTCACGGAGGCCACTGGCTCTGGCGCTTCATTCTCGAATAGCAGACGTGTTCGCTGTGGACATACACCCAGCAGCGAAGATCGGAAAAGGGATTCTGTTTGACCACGCGACCGGAGTCGTGGTTGGTGAGACGGCGGTGATCGGGAACAATGTATCAATTTTGCACCACGTCACGCTTGGTGGGACGGGAAAGGTCGGCGGAGATAGGCATCCAAAGATTGGAGATGGGGTTTTGATTGGTGCCGGTGCCACCATTTTAGGGAATGTGAAGATTGGTGATGGGGCCAAGATTGGGGCTGGCTCGGTGGTGCTCATCGATGTGCCTGCGCGGACCACTGCAGTAGGGAACCCAGCCAGGCTGGTCGGAGGGAAGGAACGGCCTTCTAAGCTTGAGGATGTGCCTGGGGAGTCCATGGATCATACGTCGTTTATCTCTGAATGGTCTGACTATATAATCTGATAACTTTTGTTGATGATATAGCTATTAGACCTGCTTTGTGGAATTTTGTTATAAACTAGATGGGGGATAAAAAGGCCCATTAGCAGAAAGAACTTGTTGCCTATGTAATGACTGACATAATGTTTGTCCCTGTGAGTTGTAGTTCACAAGTGTAATTTGTATTGAAAGCAGAGTTGCATTTGCCTGTTGTGGTGAAGTGTACTTCTACTGCTTTTGGGCTCACTTTTACTATTAGAAAGTTCTAAAGACCTGGTACTACCAGGATTCAAAAGTCAAGTGGACCTGATTTCATAAGAGATTCTAGGATGTTACTTCAAAAAAGCAGTGAACATGGGTTGTTTTTTGCTCACTTGTTGGAGATAAACTGGTAGCTTCATCGATTTTTCTCGTTAGAGTATTCAGGAAGTGCAACCCAGCAGATTAGTCTTGCTGGTGGAAGCTCAGCATCAGGATATTGCTCTTTTCTGGTCGCTCTACAATGCTTGTAGCCAAGATCAACTTTGCTGTTCTTTGCATTCTGCTATTTGCACTACAAACTTTATTATTATTATTATTTATTTATTTTTATTTATTTTGGGTGAGCATTTGCAATACAAACGTTACTACTTGTTGAAGTCTGTATCAATGTTATCTGTTTCCCCATGGTTAACCATCAATGGTTTAATGCTTAAGGACAATGTTGGTTCTTCCAAGTTATCGACTAATTGTTTGCCTAATCCTATTTTTGGTCTTGAACTTCTGGGTGAGCTCTAACTTGTCGCAACCAATCATTGCCTTACAAAATTTTAGCGTCGACACATTAATTTGACATTGCATTACAGATGCTCATAACTTTTTAATGTAATGCTAAAATAATGCCCAATACCAATTTTCAGTATTTGAGTGGAAAAATCATTCCCTAATGTAAAGCTATCTTTTATGTTAAATTTGATAAATGCTATAGCTTGTAGTGAAATTCTAAGATTGATTGCCATACTTTGTAGTGAAATTCTAAAATGTTAAGATAAGGGTTTGGATCCAATAATATGACAAATAAAAAGACAAATAAAAAAAGAGGGGAAAAAAAAATCAAACTAAAAAGGCTCTCCCGTGTCGTCCGAGTCTCCTCCAAAATACTCACTGCTCGTTCTCTGCCTCTCCAGTGTACAGTACCGGCATGGCTACTTCTTCTCCGTTATCTCTTCATTGCACAGGAAACTCCACACCATCATCATCATCTTCCCACTTCAAATCCATGACCGTAACCACCGCACATCCTCTCTCTCAGCTCTCTTTCACAGCCACTCGCTTTCTCTCTCTAAAAACTCCTCCCACTCCCTCCTCTTCTCTCCGCGCCTACACCAACAGGCCCGGAGTCCACCGCCGCCACGGTGGTGGGCCCGCAAAGACACATCCAAAGACCCAACCTCTAGAGAGACGCAAGAACAGCCAGCTCCGCGGGATAAATGAACCGAATTTGAGTCGTAGCCAGTTGAACAATCAGAATGAGAGTGACCAATTTCGAAGTTTTCCGCCGAACGTTGATTTGATGGGTTTATGCGAGGAGGGTAAGATCGAAGAGGCGTTGGAGTTCTTGGGTCAAGGCGTCTCTGCTGATTACGAGGTTTTTCGTTCGTTGTTGGATTCCTGTCGGGACAAAAGATCGGTTGAGGTTGGGAAAAGGGTCCATGAGTTTCTGAGGCGCTCGCCGTTTCGCGGCGATGTTGAGTTGAGCAATAAGGTGATGGAAATGTATGGGAAATGCGGGAGTGTGAAAAGTGCACGTAAGGTGTTTGATAGAATGACTGAGAGAAGTCTGAGTTCGTGGCATTTGATGATCAAGGTTTATGCTTTGAATGGACAGGGAGATGATGGGTTGTTGTTGTTTGAGCAAATGAAGAATGTGGGATTGAGTCCTGATAAGGAGACATTTTCGGTGGTTTTGGAAGCTTGCGCTAGTGCGGGAGCTGTGGAAGAAGGGTTGATAATTTTTGAATCCATGGAGAGTGAGTACGGGATTGTGCCGGGGATAGAACATTATTTGCGGGTTGTTGAGGTCCTCGGGGCATCGGGTTACTTGAATGAAGCGGAGGAGTTTATTAAAAAAATGCCATTTGAGCCTCCGGCTGAAGCGTGGGAAGCACTTAGGAATTTCACCCGAACTCATGGAGATCTCGAACTTGAAGACCGTATTGAGGAGTTACTTGTTACTGTTGATCCTTCTAAGGTCAATCCTAACAAAATTCCATTGGCCCAGAGGAAGAGGCATTCGGAAAGTAGCATGATAGAAGAGAAGAGCAGAGTGAGCGAGTATCGGTGTCCAAACCCGTACAAGGAAGAGGTTTATCAGAAACTGAAGGGTCTGAATGGGCAGTTGAGGGAAGCGGGTTACGTGCCTGATACACGATACGTGCTTCATGACATTGATGAGGAAGCGAAAGAGCAGGCCTTGCAGTACCATAGCGAGCGTTTGGCGATTGCGTATGGTCTGATTAGCACTCCACCAAGGACCACTCTTAGAATTATGAAGAATCTCCGGATCTGTGGCGACTGCCACAATGCGATAAAAATCATGTCTAAGATTGTTGGAAGGGAGCTGATTGTTAGGGATAACAAGCGCTTCCATCATTTCAAGGACGGAAAATGCTCGTGCGGGGATTATTGGTAAAGGCATTTCCACGCTAATCCCTCAACTGAGTTCCAAGAGGACTTTTTTGTGCTGCAGAGAGAGAGCAAACTGAGAAGTTTTGGCTTGAACTTAGCCATGTAAGTGAGAACATTTGTAGTTTGTATTTTAAAAACAAAGATCGACTGTTTATTTGTAAATTATTCTTTTACTTTGATTCAATCACCATCTAATATAAACAAGTAAAATAATCATGCATTACCATGGCAACTTGGTAATACTGCTATCGCTAATCTCCTATGATCTAGATTTCTACTTAACCGCGTGTCTACTTTTATAATTATTTGTTTGCTTTTTTGTATTTTGTTTTTTGTTTTTTTTGTTTTTGAGGGGGACTTGGAAGATACAACACAAAAAGGAATGAAAAACATATGTCTTCACATTAGCAATAGATGCCACCAAAATAAACCCAAAAACAAAAAATTGAAATTTCTTTCTTTTTCTTCTCTCTTTTTCACCTGAGAGAGAGAGAGAGACCAGATAATAGCATCTGTACAAGATTTCATCACTCTCAGGTCTTGCTCCTATGAGTTCATTGCAAGAAAGGAAAAATAAACTCATTATTCATTTATAGCAGTAGAAATTTTTATTAGCCTTCCACCTTCTGTATGTACATTGTGTAAGGACTTCTGTCTGCGTACAAATAAATCGTCCTTTATTGAGACCTTGTAATGAGGTATTCTGCTCAATACCCTAGTCTTCAATTATACAGTTCCAAAGAATGGAATTTTCAATTAAGAAAACTCAAATGGTAGAGTTATTAAATCTAGAATTACTTTTCCGAAAGTAAGACAAAGCTTGACTTAACTTCTGCTGGATAGTAGCTCAAAGTAGAACTTTAAAAGAAATTGTTACTGGGACTGAAAAGACGATTGTTGGATATTCCTTTTATTGGTTACCACTTCAACCACAGCTTCATCCCGCGATGGAACTCTTAGGTACGACTTCACAACGTCATAAACTGTGAACCCGATTGCCACAGATGGTACGACCTAAATCAAACAAGCTATTGATCATCATCACGGAAAAGAAGGTATATTGCTATAAACAAAATGAACGGGGTTTAACCACCTTCAAATAATTGATGCTAAGTCCTGAAAATAGTTGTTTCCACCCTTGCTTTTGGGCGATCTGAACGAGGGTTTGCATCGTTCCTCTCACCTCTACACTGTTTGATGGCAAGAACGGTTGAACCTGTTCAAATGGCTTCCATCCGTTACAATCATAATATTGAATATTGAAATATAGTTCCAAGGAGCTTGAACTCGGAAGTACATTACCTGCATTTGCCTCCTGACAACATCAAGCGGGTATGTAAACGTCTGTCCCAATAAACCGGCAACAGATCCGCATGCAAGTTTCACCATAATGTTTTTCTTTTGTTCTTCAGGGACGTGACGTTTCATCTCCTCGTAGAAGTAAAACTTCAAACCAGCATATGGGAAGATTCCATAGAGGGATGGAGCTGACAATTGTGTTCATCATGTGATAAACAGAAGGAATTCAACAAGTCACAAAAACACCCAATGTCAGCACTCATGAGGTAAACAGTTTCAAATCCATACCCACACCGCGGTAGAGACCCCTAATTCCAGCCTCTTTGTAATTCTTGGAGAAACAATGAAGAATTCCCTTGTATACTTGTTCATTGTTCGCTAATGCTTGAACACTCAATTTTGAAGAATCAACAACCTGCACTAATCCACGTGCTAATTATTCTTTGTACGAGGATCAGAGAAAGAGAGACCAAGAAAGGGAGCTAAATCTTTTCTGTCCAATTATTTACCTGATAAGCCAACTTAGTTCGAACTAAATCAAGAGGATAAGTGAAAAGAACAGCCGTTCCTCCAGCAAATGATCCTGCCACAAGATCAAGTCCTGGCCCCCTCCACACATCAGGAAAGGTGTCAATAATCCATCTGCGGTATTGTTCATAGGCCATGTAATGCAATGCTGCGTAGGGAACAATTCTTGCAACACTAGCTCCATTCCCTCTGTACAAAGATCCAAAAGACACATGTTGACTTAAACAGTTTGAAACCAATCTTCAGGAGAATATAAATGACTCGGGGATTCACCTGTAGAAACCTAAAACCCCTTCTGTCTTTGCAATCTTTTTAAACGATCCGAATAGCCCTATGCTTTGAAATTCTGCTTTTCTGGTCTGAGAAACATAATGCATGAGTTCTTCTGGCTTTCGAGAATTATATTCTTGCTCATAAATTTTATCCAACAATCAATTTCATTTCAAGTGCATAAAATATTCAGAACCATTTACTTTAAACCTCAAAACCTTCTTAATCTATAATTTGATTGGATTAATGGAGGAGCATTAACAGGGAATCTTCTCATTGCGATTCTAAATTACATTCATCATGAATAATCATATTTTACTCATTTCTTCAAAATTACCAGTGCTTGACTGTACTTAACCAACTTATAGCAAAATATTTGGGGCACGAAATCAAAAGGAACTTAAATTAACAAACTTGATCTTAATATAACTCATTCTCTAAAGAAAACTACACACTAAAACATTTGCAAACTTGACTTCAATTCAGTTTCAGAACCAATTCTGACAAACATCCACTAAGCAAATCACAAATACAAACACACACAAAAAAAGTTACAGAAATCCAGGAAGCAAAACATAATTGACAAAATCCTCTAAATAATAATAATAATAATAATTGACAATCTCTACAGTGCGCAAAAAAAAAGAACAGACAAACTTCTCAATTCAATGAATGGTGAGGAAAAGCTGAACCTGAAACAAAATCTTGACACGCTCGAGTGGTGCGACGACGGTCTTAGCAAAGCCACCGGCGAGGCCACCGGCCACCAACTCCTTGGCAAACAACGGCATGCCCTCTATTACTCCTTCCATGAACAAACCCATTTCCCCTTCTTCTCTCTTTTTCGCCATTAAAGAATTACTTATTAACACAGAGAAAGAGAGAGAAGGAAAGTGAGAGGGAAGAAAGAATCGAAACGTTTCGGAATAGTATTTAGTATTGTAAGGTGTCCAAAAGTTGTGGCTTTTATATGTTTGGGAGGGTTTCAGAAGACACCATTTGTCTAAACGTTTTGGGGTAGCTGACGAGTTAGAGAAGCCCACGCCTTCCTCAGATTCTTCTTTTATTATTATTTTTTTTTTATTTCTTTTTGTATGAAGAGAATGTCATTATTAGTCCTGAGCTTTGTTGAGGTGTTTCCGGTTCTATTTTATTACCACCAAAAAGGGTAAGAATTCCACGATCAAAACCGTCTATTCAAATCGTTGACTAACTGACTAATCTCAGAAAGCCAAAGGAGACTAAACTTTGTCAACATTAATGGGGTTTGTATTTTTTTGACCGTTCCCCTGAGAAACAATGCCGTGGCCAACTTTGGAATGAATACTGAGATTTAACCCTTTATTTTTTATTCTAGAAAAATTACACCACGTTAGAAATTAATTAGGGTGGAACTAAAATATAACAATTTTTTTAAAAAATATTTTGAGAATATTTAAATTATATAATTACAATATTTTTTATGTTTTGTGCACAAAAAATAGCATGAAATAATTCTTATAACGATTTTAATTTTGTGGTTATAGACTTCACTCGACTTCGCTGTAAGGTGTATAATTTAGATCCCACATTTAAATTTTTAAAAAACAACAAATTAAGTTTATGTTGAGCTATTTATAAAATATTTTGAATATAATATTTTAATATGACTAATAAAATTATGCCTTATGTTTAACTAGAAAAAAATCTCAAAAAAAAAAAAAAAATAAAGAAGATAGAATCAAGGTGTCAAAACACTTCAGGCCAGCAAGAATGAGCATCAAGAATTGGATCCTAAGGAATATTATACTTTAGCCAATTGGATAGTTTTCTTCTCATCTTTTTAATGGAAAAAAGTGTAGGATCCTTTCATTAGAATGGAAATGCTTTACTCTTTTTTTGTCTTCTGTGATTGAAAATTTGTAATTTGAAATAGAGATGTCAAAACGGCCCTTCTAATCTTAGGTCCGTGGCGGGTTTGGACCGTGCCTGACACGACCTTATATAGTGCAGGGCCGTGCCAGGGTCGGGCTTGAGGCCATAAGGGCTAGGGCCGGGCCTGGGCCTTGGCCCTTCACGGCCTGGTCCTGGCCCTTATGGTCTCAGGCCCGACCCTGGCACGGCCCTGCACTATGTAAGGCCGTGCCAGGCACGACCCAAACTTCACGGGCCGGCCCTAGCCCTTTTAATTTTATTTCTAATATTTAATTAAAAAATATATATATATCATATGTTCTCAAAAGATGTGATTTTATTGAATTGAGATAATACAAATAAGTACACATAAATGACTACCTCGTTAAAAACCTTGACAAGTAAAACCCGTGGGAACATCGAGACAAAACCTTAGCGAAGGAAAAAAGAGTGCAATATACTAGGATAAGTAAATTACAAAATCTTAGTGCTTTCTAGAAGATTCTGTTATTTCTAAACTTAATCTTAACCTAATTTTCTTGATGCACTTAAGTTTCACTTATGATTAACAATTTTTTTTAAGATTTTTTTTTATAATTTCAAATTTGATGACAAAAAAAAAGTAATATATCATATGGCCCAAAAAATGTGATTTTATTGAAATAATATAAATAATTACAAGAAAATGACTGGTTGACCGGATGGCATAAGTCGGCCAGTTGGCCCTAAAATGCCTCAAATCTCATTAAAATTTCATGTCGCGGGCTTGGGCCTTCACGGGCCTAGGCCGTGCTTGGGCTGCGGGCCTCAAACATGAGGCCTAATCTAGACCCTTTTGGCGTGCCGAGCTGGCCCGGCCCATAATAGTACAAGGCCGGGCCGGGCCGAATTAACCACTGTTGCGGGCTGGACCGGGCCGTTTATGGACGGTCCGACCCAATTAACACCTCTAATATGAAAAATGATAACCCGACTCAATTAACACCTCTAATATAAAAAATGTCGATCCGGCTCAATTAATACCTCTAATTTAAAAAATGTTTGGTAGTCTAAATACGTCTTTGAATTTTGGAGTTTGCAGGGGGATGGGCAGCCAGGGTCCATGTAAAGAAATGAGTGACGTGGAAAGGAAATTTTGCATGGAAATATCATCACAAACAATAATGGCAGGCAATAAATGGTGGCATCAATCAAAATTCATTAAACCATGATATGGATTTGGCGTAGATCTCACTAAGCCTTCATAATTTCTTTCAACTTTATCATCATAATAATAACAGCAATAACAATCATAGTAATAATAACATTAAAAAGAAATCCTCCATGGAGGCCGTAGAGATTGCAGAAATATGGTATGCTAGTTGAAAAGATTAGCTTCACTTATTTATTTGTTTGGTGAGTAAAGAAAGGAGCATTTATGAAGAATATTCTATGCAATCCCGAGAAACAAAGAATAGTAGATCAAAGCTAATAGAGCCTAGGTCTGACACCAAATTAAGGATCCATTTAGTGTACTCGTTTAAGTAGTCATTCTGATTTATTGACTGGAACTTTATGAGAGAAGAAATTTTTTAAATATAAATTCTTTATAAGATAAAAAAACACTGTAGCGGAATCAAAATCACAGATTCAAGTATATATATCAAATGGGCCCTAATAGTTTCTAAACTAGATGATCAAATTCCAAAAATTCTGGCTTCTCCAATTTCATGTCCAAACAATCTATTATAATCCTGGTTAGGAATCATGTTGGCTGAGACATCTTAGTAGACGTTTGATTCATGGATTCAGAATCATGATTCAGAACTATTCTCGTTTTACGTGTGTTTTGTGAAAGAAAAACACCGTAAAAAACCATGAATCATGATTCAGAATCAGAGACGAATACAATAAACAAACATCCCTTTAAATATAATGTCTTAAATTTGAAGGTAAATTAGTTGATAGTCAGATCACAAGATAAAGGGCAAAGGCAAACTCATCAAGAAATGATTTCCCGAAGCCTCGAAATGTCCTGAATTGTTCCCATTAACTTTGAGGTGAGTTGCTGAAACTGATTTCTTCAGCAGTCGTGTTGATGAGGTGAAGAAGGATCTTCTCAAGCTCTTCCCCGTTGCTCCATTCATGGATTTCAGCATTGATTGGCGTTTGGTTGCTGCAAATGCGCTTCCACAGAGGATAGTTCTTCCTTGGCATGACATGGTCTCCCTCGGCAAGCCTCAGCGTCGGGCAGAAGTCACCACCCCCATCTCCAAGGTAGATAAATCTTCTCCTCCCATTTTCAGAATCAGAAGCCCGTATTTGGTCGATCACAAGACCCTAAGATGACATTCGATTCATGGTTAGCATACGGTTTCCATTGAAGAAAGGAAATCCACTAGAGAGAAGAAAATTAAACTCTTTTGCCGTTTAAAAGGGACCAAAATCTAAGTTGCAGAAGTGACTATAACTGAAGTAGAAATAGACAATATGTCTCTTCAAGTAGCAAATTTTCTAGCCTATAGTTAGCCGTCTAACTGATAGTAACAAACAAAGGATATTTACTTGTTAATTGGTTTTTTTCTTAGAATTTTCTATATCACCTTGATACAATTGTCAGTAACTGGCAATTTCTCTTACGGCTCTCTGCATATTCAAAGTCTAGCTAGAAAGTAGAAACATTTACAATTGGAAGCAGATAGGAAAGTTGATGATAGAATTTCGCATACTGTCTTTGGTCACTTTTTTACTCTGGCTCTTAAGACAGGGCTTGACAATCAAGCCCTTCCTATATAAATTCTCTCCCTTTGAACTAAACCAGACATTGGTGTTCTACATAATTCAATCACCCTACTAAGCATTTTAAGATATAGAAATTCATAACGAGTTACAACGCTAGAATATTCAAATTTGTTGAACCAAAACCGATAACATCTACACAAAACACAATAGTTGATACTCGTGCTAAGAAATACCTTGCACATATTTGGAGGGCACAGATTGCAACCATGAGGCGAGCTTAAATCATGATAAGGCACAATTCTAAGCCTTCTATCCTCATCTACAAAGGTCGGGTTCGTGGTGATATGCGAAAAGCATCCCGACACATCATGACGTTCCAATATTTTCTCGATAAAAAACTTGTTTGCATCGCTGATGATCCGAAGATCACATCTGAAATCATCAAATTGTGTTTCATAATCTTTGGTCTCCATCCTTATTAACAGTCATCAAGGGCCCTTTTGGAATGTATACTCAAAATATTATTTGGGTTCATTGACGAGAACTTTGTGGAAAAGAAATTTTAGAATTCAAACTCTTTATGAGATAAAAAATACTGTAGCAGAATCATAATTTGAGTTTGAGTATAGGTTCCAAACAACCCCAAAACTTAAACAAGCCATAACTAATAGTAACTAAGTCCAGGAAGTCACCCAAGGGAATGTGCTGATTTAATGGCTGCAATAATACTGGGATGAATTGGGGCACTTTGCAGGCACCTGGCAATGTCCGAAGGTGTTTTTCCTTGGGAATGAAGCTCCATCATCATCCTATCCTACATATTCATAGTAAACCAAACCATATGAATCTATTTCCAGCACAAAGAAAAAAAAACTACAAAAAATAAATCTATACCAATCTATCAAATATATATTTTAAAATTTAATTTAATATACAAATCTATCTTTTATTTCGGTCAATAATTGATTTTGACTTTTAAAATGACCAAATCATCTTTAAGAAAAAGAGAGAAACTAAAACTAAAACTTTCTAACACTACAAAAAATAAAAAATAAAAACACAAAAAAAAATCCATTTTAATGGTATTTTGGATTTGTTAAGGTTAAAATCGTAAATTTAAAATTTTTTTTAGTTTTTTTTTTCCTTTTTTTATTTTTAATTTAAGATATTTTAAGTATTTAAAATTAAAAATTGACTGTAAAAATGTATAAATTTAAGTATTAAATCTAATTTAAAGATATACATTTAATAAAATTAAAAATTAAAGATATAATTTTTAAATAAACTCAAAATACTAAATATTTCAAAAATCTATGATCAATGTAAGAAAGACTCATATATGCAAAGTTCTCTAACAATCAAAAATCATGATTCTTATGCATACCATTTTCTTTTGAAATAAAATT